AGTGCGGGGAAATCCAGTGGTTGTGCATCCGCGAGAAAGGCAATAGCACACCAATGCCATTACACTCTGACCACTCATCTCGTTTTATTGTTAGTATACGAATAATACTCTACAACTAAAGTCTATCTAATCCTTGTGTCCATTTGATTTTAAGATTCCGCAACAGAACGGCGGCCTGTGATATGCATGACAAGAAGCGACGTCTTTCGACGTGGAACGTTCGCAGATCTTCATCTGATCCAAGTGCGACATGTGCTTTAGCTTTTCTCGTCCATAATGCAGCCCCTCTACTCTGTGCAGGGCCTGAAGAGCAGCGGCTTCGTCGGTGTCCATTTTTAGGAAAGCCCGCTTGTAGTGCTGGAATTCAGGAACTGAAACACAGATGTTAAAATCTAGCAGGGAAAAAAAGGCCCACTCCAATTTGTTTAACTCAGCCAACGGCACTCCCCCGATTAAGGCATATCGCGTGTTGGAGAAGAATCGATCGTCCCAATACTTCGAAGCCAGTGTGATTGCGGCAAGCCAAAAACGGTAGAGGTATGAAGCGGAAGTGCCTGACATTGGGGAGTGCTGCTAGCCCGCCCTGGGGGCTTTTGTCATCCACATTAATAAAATTGAGGAAACTCAAATTTTATGCGCGCCAAAAGTTAGTCAATTCCTTGTGGTTCCGAACGATTGTCATCTATTAGGAATAGGAACAAGAATGGCGCTCTGCATCACAAATGGGGCGACGTAGGGATGGCCACGCAGCTACAAGTTGGGCTCTATCTTGGGACTAGCAGCAGTCTGGGAGATCGTTCGCCTTCCGTCCATAAAATGTTTGCATTGTTCAGGCGGTGGCTCCGATGTTTTCCGGGAGGGTCGACGCTCGTCAGCGACGCCCGCAGTCGGTCAAGATAGATGTACGCGATAACGTAGCTTTCCGCACTCGCGTCGAAGTGCTTGTGGAACCGCGCAAAATACTCGTTCAGAGGCATCGACGTCTGGCTCGTTAAGTAAAACATGTTGAGTCGCTCGTCCTCGCAATATTTCGGCCTGCGATAAATGCCGAAATGAGTTTCGGCGTAGTTAATAACTTTGCGCCAATAAAGGTCCGGCTCAATCAAGTCCAGAGTTAGCGAGTCCTGCATTTCCATGGGCAGGGCGATCTTCTGCAGCGCTCTTGCGACGTTGCGCACCAAACGGCCATCCTCTGCATCAGCTGCTTGGTCAAAAATTTGCCTCAGCTGCTTCGGCTTCGACTCGTCTGACTGCTGCATCAGCTGCTTCGCCTCGTCTGACTCTAACTTTCCGACCTCTGCCAAGGGATCGTCGTACCGTCCCGTTGCCGCAGGCTGAAAAGGCCGATCCAGCTGTCCCAGATGATTGTAGCAGGGAAGCTCAGGTCATCGGAGAAAAAAGCTTGCAGCTCTCAACGTCACCATTTTGCGACTCACAGTTCCGTCAGAGGAATACGTCTGCTCGGCGCGAACCTCGAATCATGATCGATATCAAAGCTAACTACTTTCATGTCAGCTGGAGCCCACGACAGTTTTCGCTTACGCACGAGTGCCGCCACAGCCCTCTTCTGGCATCCCCTCCGGGCCGTTTGCATTTCCGTTTAATATTTTCTCGTATAATATATGCAAGAATAACGCACGAGATCAAGAATCACATGAAGCTGCACCTTTCTGGGTACTTATGGAGATTGATTTTGCCTTTGTCTTTGTGCTGTGTATAAATATAACATGTGTGCAAAAGGGTGACGAGCTCGGTAGAGATGCTTTTTTGAAGATACTCCCGGACGACATTCCATGTCCGTCTCCGCGTCCGCGTCATCAAACGAAGCAAGCGACACAGCGTTCGCACTGCCGGCGTCGGCCGCTGCGCCCCCCCGAATATCAGGTTGGACAACACCACCGCCACCCAACAGGCCGCCATAGGCTAGAGGAGCATCGGAGGGGCAATTCTTTTGTGGCGCCGCCACGGTTGCGGATGTCGTGCCTTCCCCGCGGCCTTGAAATTGTGGACAGGATCTAGAAGTGCTGCGTGTGGTGCCGAAGTGTTGTTGTAGTTCCGGCATTTCTTCACTAGCTACACCCGCACTGATCATGCCCACCCGTTCTACTTGATGAGCACGCGACTCAAGAGCGCGACGAGTGGATGCCTTCTCCTGCTCTGGTGGTGGTGGATGCGCATGCACAGCCCCCGGTGAGTTCGGCCCATTTTTCCTGGCATCTTTGTAATGCTTGTCTTGCTGGTCACACGCGGAGCAAAGATCTCGCAGCGATTGACGGGTGACGCCGTATACTGCGTCCTGCTGCGGCACGAAGGCTCTTTTGTCCCGGTCGCACCAACCACTACCAGAAGATGCACCTTGCGCTTCTTGCCCTGTTTTTTCATCCGCGCCCGCTGCGATGTCGGGCTGCGTTGTAATTCGAAATTAATACTAGGCGAAAGCCTTGACTTTATGGTGCACGACCATTTTAAAAATCACATGTAGTAGCAAAAGTAGACAAACTTAATCTCTTCAAAAATATTATCCTATTTCACACCATCTACTTTAGATATACTCGCGAACTAGCGTCGTGGGCGTCCGAGGTTTTGACTTGGCCTTCAGGAGAACGTAAGCATTGCTGAGAGGCGCGCCGGACGATTATGCCCTGCAAAGGTCTTACAATTTCGCGCGTTTGTTCCACAACGACAATACTGCAACAAGATACCAAGAGATGTTTTCTTGCAGCGCACAGTAGAAATGCGATTTTGGGCTTTTGGGACAGCGTACAACCAAGATAATGTATATCTATATTTATTCTATATTCATTCATCAACAACATGGCGCAGCGCTGGCGTCGGCATGCAGTGCATACTAACACGCGTCGTGAACTACATGCTGCAAGCGTGTGCTGCCAGAAGATTATTTACTTTAATCATGAGCTTAAAAGCGCCTAGGTATGTGCGACGCGCCCATCCCAATCTCAGGACGTGCACTTTTTGCAGCGACAGGTTCATGTATGCTAGTAATGCAGCAGCCGAAATTGTAACGCGTGAACCAGCCATATCGATGCCTCTGTGTGCCCGGCGGCGCTTCAGGTTTTATAGAACTGGATTGGCTCCTGATGTCTTTGTGCTCCTGCACGCTCACCCCAGAAGCGTGGCTTTTTCACCGTAGAAAAAAAAAACTTTAACCTGCAAACAGATACTAGATTCGAGTAAATACTGATGGAGGAGCAGGAGCATAGAGCTAGGCAGTATGTAAAATTAGAGCGCAGGTCTTTCACGGTACAGTCGTGGTGACCATGAGTCACAATTCTCAGACAAGTCATGTGATGCAATTCTTGTCTGCTCTCAGGGATCCCAACAGACGAGAATGACCACGAACATACGAGGAGCAAATCCATTTTCATATCTTTTTCACCGGCGAGCCACCTGGAGTGTTCGGCGACGGCGACGAGCCCGGTGTAATATCATCCTCCACCGTGGCATCAGAGTCGTCTTGATCTTGTACTCCTGCACCTCCGTTGACAGGACCTTGCTGTGCGACAATATCGGCCCCTCCAAGGCGATCGTCGTGCAGCGAGAGAAGGCGCATGGAGTCATTCAATAGTTCATCAACTACAGCAGCAGCTGCATGATCACCTTCACGTTCACCACCGCCGGCACCAGCACGAGAAAACTGGTCCTCCGCGCTGTCGCTGGTGAGTGAAGTGCTGGTATGAGCCGCCGAAGCCGAACCCAGACCGGCTCCCGATGGGCTTCTTGTCGAGTCTTGATCATTGGCCCTGGCCACACGGCCCTGGTGGTGACCACACGTCGACAGCCGGTTGATCCCGATTGGGTGGTCGTGGACGCAACCGAAGTGCTCACCATCGGTCTCAGAGCCCGGCTCTTGCTCTTCTCCCTCGCCCGACTATGGGAGTGAAAAGTCGTGGGAAATCGCCAAGGAGATTCAAGGAGACCAAGGCGCAACCCCAGGAATAGGAAAAAAATAAAAATATAATTATGATATAAGTATATTTTTGCAAAGTTACAACATGTCCGACTAGGAGGTCCTCAGAGGAACTTCGACCCACCCAGCCGGGTGGGCCTTGTTAGGTCCCCGGCCCCAAAAATTAAGTTATGAATCCACCACAGCTCGCGCTCGCGAGTGTTTCAGTTTGTTTTCTCGCCGGATTCATGATCCATCCGAATCAAAAGCAATATTTATATGAGGAAGTATGCCGTCCAACCGAGCTTCTACCGTACGCAGAATTACAACTACTCGTTGCATCCCGTGCAATGCGAGCACTTTACGCAGCCTGCTCCTGACAGCTCAACATGCAAAGTGAAGATAAGAAGTTCTTGATTCGATCAAGAAGTTAGAGATGTCCCGCGACGTCTTGCAGGTCGTCTTTCATATCACCGCCTTTGCACGGAGTGCGCCGCCGACGGAAACATCATCACTACCGGTCATATCTGGTAGTGATGTTTCCGTCCGTACCACCCCGGCTGCGGCTGCCACGTCGCGTCCTTTCGTCGGGAGATCCGGGACGAGGGTAGCCTCCGAGTCGCTGGAAAAATCGCCCCCGACCCGGGATTTCAACATTATCCCAGGATAGGCTTGCAACTCGCTGCCACTCAGGCAGTCCTCGCGATCTGTCCTCCGATACGGTGGCAGTGCGAACTCGTCGGGGTTAGAGGCATAGGCAGCACAGGATGTCATTCGCTGCGGAGTTTGAGGATCGGACCCGTGGCTGGCGACGTCGTCGAGGTATGATGTGTATTGCGCGTCCTCTTGCGCTGCACCGCTCTTATTTTTTGATTTCTTCTTCAGTTTCAGTCCTGCAGCGGTTGTCGGACCAGGAGCTGCCTTGTCTGCCGTCCGCATGACGGGTGTAGTTCTGGTGTAGAAATTGCTGTCGTGTGCACCACCTGGTGCGGCACTCGCAGCCGCAGCCGCACTTTCTCTCGTGCGGCTGACGACGTGCTGCAGACGGGCCCCTTGTTGTCTGTCGCCCGCTAGGCCGAATCCCGAGGGCCCAATAGAGGCAGCCTGAATTTCTGGCGGCCGGAAGTCGAACCCACTTGCAGCAGAGGCAAAACTCTTGCTTCCACCTGCAGAGAATATAGAAAAACTGGAAATATAGAAATCTTTCAACAAATCAAAATTAAGTATGTATCGCGACGTAATCAACTACTACGACACATGACCCAGCATCTACAACAGCTCCAGAGTGGTGCAGCCGTACTAGAAGTAGAAGATGAAGAGAGGGTTATAACAAGTGCATAGAGAGTCAATCGCTCAATGAGACCACCCCTTGCAGCTGGACAACGGGCAGACATTTAATTATATTTCGCAATTCTCATAATCCAGGAAGTTTTGCAGGGGCGAGCTGCTTCATCTACGTGCACTTTGCCCTCATCTTGCTTCAGTTCTAATGGAGCCATGATGTCAACAACACAAGCGTGGCGCGGCCCAAGGCGACACGTCTTCTGACAAGCGACGTTGTTCTTGTTCGGCGTAAACGGCTGGGAACATACAAGCACGATATAGAAGTTTTGATCAATTTCCATAGAGTTGTAGTAGCGCGCTTTTGTTCCCTGTATGAGTATGTACAGAAGTTGCCAGAAAGCTCAAGCTGGTACAGTGCAGCTTCTGACATAAACAAAAACGTATTCTAAGCGCGAATAATATTAAATGGCTTACAGTTGGTGAATCATGGGCACAGCAGGTAGCAGCGCGTGCTTGAGCAGGAGGCGCAGCGGCGGGCAGACGCTTGCAAGCATGCGGTGGGAGTACGGCGGCACGTTTGCGCGCTAGTACTAGCAATCGAAGTACAAGTACAGGAAGACCACGACCACGAGGCATGACTGATAGCGTAGTAAACATTTAGCTGTAGTACCGCTCTGTTCTCTCAGAACAGACCCACTGGGACCGGCCGCGCGATAAGGACGCCGTCCAGACAGGTGGTCATCCAACATGACATCAGGCAGCTGCGATCGGCAGTATGCAATGCAAATTATTTTTGCACTATGTAATCCCCGGCGGAGTCAATGTCAACAACAACAACATGCAAACGAAGTATAAAATCGTTACTGTCCGCGATTCCGTTTCCAATTTTGCACAGTGAGCGAAACTCTCGTAGCAATGCGCAGTCATGACAGACCGCCGCAATAACGACGCACTATACAGCTGACAATTATGAATCTGTATCCAAGCAACTTTGTGCACGCTTTGGAACGTCGTTCGGGACAGAGTCCTGTCCTTGAAGCGAGCTTCTATTGATTTCGGAATTCTATTTGGAAATCGTGTCGCTCTGAGAAAGCTCTACTGATGCAGAAGATTCATCGGATTTTTCAAATTCCTTCGCCAAAATAAGAAAGTACATCATTAATTTGCACATGATATCGATGTCGCGGCAACGACACACAGCATCCCTTGGATTTCCTCAAGTACGAGAAGAAAAGCGGCGCAAACAACTAGAGCCCAGATAATAGGATGACGCAAGCGGATTATCATCGTCGGGACAGCCGCACCAACGAGGGAGGGCGAGCCGGGTTTCTTCTTCTTGCTGTTCCTCCACACCTCGTTCGGCTGCACTGACGTCTTTCCAGTCTTTCTGCTGCCGGTCTTGCAGTCTTTGCCAAAAAGGCCTACATCCACATCAGGGGTTGCTAGCGGCTGGGGTTGGCCAAAATTCGCGGTCACGACATGCCGAGCGTCCCTCGAGCCGAGGGTCGTGACGTTCTTTGCGAAGTCGATGTGGTGTTTCATGGCGCAGAAAACTTCAGTCAGCTCCCCCAGGGGAAGCGGCTTCCGTTTCACCCGCGCACTTGCGTTGGTAAACATTTCCGAAGTAAAAAAAGTAAAAGCGCTTTATTCACAGGTGCGAACTTAATATTAACGCTCGAAATAAGTATAAGTAGCGGAATCGGAATACCAGATGCAGAGTGGTCAGCTGTTGCTGGACTTCTCTGTTCCCAAATGTTCCGAATTTCCCAAAAAGAAAGCTGCACTTCAAAGCCAGAAACGTTGAAATTCAAATTTCATGATTCCTTTGGTGGACTATAATGTACATTGGTTCTGGTTCTGGTTGTACAAATTATCGGAAAACTTAAATTAAATCAATAAATATTATTTACAGGAATTCGAAGTGCAAATGAGTCGGAGGCGGGCGGGGCCTTCAAGGGTAAATTCTCGCAGAAGTTCGTATTCTATAAGAATCTCTATAGACAGAGTCAGAGACGCTCAGCTTCGAGATTCTCCGTACTCTACTGGTGGCGTGCCTGTGGTGCCGATCGCGAAGTAGCTGTAAGTACTACTTGTATAAGTAACAGTATTCGAAATTGTAAACAAGAAGTGCCTCCTTAGGTCGAGAGGCAGAATGCTAACAATGACGCAAGACAAAGCAAAGGCGATCAATTTCTGTGTCTGAAGTTCATTTATTACTACTGGCACAGCCGGTAGCCTTGCGCTTTAATTTATTCCCTAGATATTATTCGTTTGATTTGATGCTTATCCTGTTTGTACAAAGACAAACTATAACTATGCAGAGTCATGGCGTAGATGGAACTAGTTTTTCTCATTCTTATTTTTTACTGTGAGACTGATAGAGCCTCGTGCATTTGATCGATGATCTTCTGCAGTAGTAGTCGTGAGTGGGGTTCCGCACGACTCAACGCCTTATTTCTCCGTGTCGAGTAGCAATCCAAGTCTCATTCGTTCATAAGACACTCATCCAGAACCTGTTCGACGTCTCAGATGTTGCCGGACTATACGCCCGAACCCGATCTGCGACGGCAGTGGTGCTCGAAGATGTTGGATGGCAGATTTCGTTTTCGAACCCAACGACTCGAAGAGCGGCGGGAGAGATGAGGTTGATATATGATAACGAAGCCCATCAAACTTCAAATAGAACGCTGAGAATGTCCTCGTTCCCAGCTTGCTTGAACTTAGAACTTGTAATCGTTTCAGTTTGCTATCTCGCCAATTACAATTTCGTCTGTATAAAATTGTCGCTCGCGTTATAAAATTGTCTTCATGAAATATTTCATCGCAATAATATCTGTCATCGTTTGCGTCGGGGTGATAATTGGCAAAGATTTGATTGTGTGTGTCAAGGCAGGCACAAAAAAGATCAAGAGAAACCATGTGAAGATCCTAACGAAGAGGGTCTTCTCTTGGGTGAAGGTTTCATCCATATATGCATGACACTGACGAGCTCTTCTTCGCGAAACTGACGAAGCCGAAGGACAACATGATATAGTCGCGGACTAGCTTCTACTTCTTTGTTCGATCACAACAAACTTCTATACTCAAACATCATATTGATAGAGGAGATCTTGCTGCTGCTGCTGCTGCTGTTCGGTTCTTCGCCTTCGTAACTAAGACTAGGATCAAAATCACAATATCCGGTCGTTTATCGAACTGACGCCTCTTGGCTCTTCCATCTTCGCGAGGAAATAATCAAAAAGAGCACAGATCATCCTTCTTCGATCCTCGCCATCGCCGCGGACACGAAACATGTGAAAGCTAGATCTTTATCTTTGACGCATGCTGCTGATCTTTTTCGAAGTAAAAGTATTGAAGAAAAGTTCCTGGAGCCTCAGTTTCCATGTTTCCCGTGGGTGTTCTAAACGCTTCAGCAACTGCAAAGATAAGAATAAGATGAGTCCCTGAAGAAAAAACCGTCCGCTTACTGCTCAAACAGCAAAATTATATACGGATCTTCTTGTTCTTCCGTGTACTGACTTATCTTCACCTTCACTCGACCGGAACGGAAGCGAAAGAAATTGTATTTCAATGCAGGCTTATTTCGGATCATCTCCATCGCTCATATTCCTATTGTTGCAACAAAGAAAACCTATACTTGGTTTCACATCCATGTGTTTGGAGCTTGACACCGCCGTCAAGCAACACCTCTACTGTAGCTGCAAGTGCGGCTTTCTAGTTGTTCTAGATTCAAAATCGTGCATGAACACATCAAATCGGAAGGGTCTGAAGGTCCTCGCTGCTGTCGAGTCAGTGAGCAGGAGTAGGTATGACGCTTATTTATTTCGAACGATTTCACATTTAAGTTCTCATAAAGTTTTGCTTGAGTTTTGAGTTTGACGGTACATCTGATTTCAATGTAGTTCACGTTCTGCTATCTTGCCGTTCATTTTCTTGCAAATGTAGACGAACACTTATCAAGCCGGATGGGCCACATTAGTGACGTAATTGTAATTGTATTAAACAGATATCGACACTTTCCTGTCATTGTGGATCTCAACTTATCCTTTTCCCTCCATGGTACTTAATTGGTTAGTGTACATGAAATTTATTTTGTGAAAGTGAATTAAAGCGTAGTAAGAAATAGTGTGCTCAAAAAAAGTTCTGGACGCCAGACGAAGAAAACCTTGCGGGCATGATATGAGGAACAGAAAACAAAGCAGAAAGGGTAAAGCTCTTTGTTGTTTACATTGTGCGTACGAGGACAACGGAGATTAATGCGCAGCATGACAAGTTCAGAAATGGGGGAGAGCTTGAAAATTCAACAACTCATCCAGCCGGCGCTTGATAGAAAACACAAGAAAAGAACTAAGTACGCTTCGTCGACGTTTGCATTTAGTACTATTCAAGGCACCAGCACTCCACAAAAAGTGTGAAGCTGTCGCTGGGAGGTGACACTACTGCTTTATAATTTTTCGCTCAATAAAATACAAATGCGTTCAGCGATAGAGTTAGAGATTTTTTAGTATATAATTCTGACACTCGAGATTACTATGTGCCTTCTCTGCTGCATCGCGTCAGAGATTCCAGACCGACTACGCTTTCGACGAGCAGAAAACTGCTTAGGCTATTACAACTCGTGGCGCAGGTAGTCGTTTTTTCTATCCGAATCTCGCTGCAACACAGTTTATGCATGCTATCCATCAAATATCAAAGTTGAAACTGTAGGAGTTCCATTAGCCACCCAATCGCCATGAACATGGTGGTCAAGGTGGTCATCGCATTTTTTGATTGTAATATATCATAAAATCATAATCAGATCCGAGACGTCATAAAAGTAAAACCAAAAAGTACTACTGCTACAGGAGTCGAAATTAAAGCTATAAAAAGAAGACGACAATTATGCTATTAAGCATAGGCATAGACACTGTGACTGTTACTGCATTTTTCCTGCGTACTCTCGTCCGAGTCCACCGAGACGTAGTGGTTAATAATAATTCATTCGCATGGCTGTTGCATTCGCAGACTTTTTCCGTTTTTGCATCTTAGTCGGATTCAGTCTTTTTTCAAGAAACAGTATAACAAAAAGCATTTTCTCTATGTACAACAATGTTCCCCGCCGGCAGGCATCAGAAATGTTCCTGGCTCGAGGATCTGCTACGACGGGCTTTTTTCTTTTTGTCCTTGTGTGACGAGTCGTGCTGACCAGCGACACCGTCTACCCCCTCCGGTCCATTCCCCATCATTTGGTCGTAGTCATCCAAGGAATCACTTCGCTTCATCTTTTTCGGGGAGGCCTTGTGCGGGTGGATCAGGTAGGTGTCGAGGTTGGGGGGCAGCACCGTGATGGTCAAGTCGTTGAAAATACCCCGGGCGGCACGAGTGAGCATTTCCAGGAGCTTCTTGCTGTCCGTAGCCTTCTCGCCGTTGACTGCAAGAATGGTGGAATGCAGTCGAAGCTCGTGGCTGCCAATGACTAACACCTCCAGCTGCCCGGTGGAAGAACTTGCCGCGGCCCCTGCTCGTGCGTCGGCGGACGCGTAGGGAATCAGTTTGGTGATGGTCAGCGCATTGTAACCGCTCGATGCCGCCCACACCTTCGGGTTCCCAACCCGGATTCCAAGTTCCGGAATGGACACCTCGAGCTTCTCGTCCAATGCATCGGGATCGGAACTTCGCACGGGGTGGGCATACCGAATCTCCAACGTCTTCGATGTTCGATGGGGATTCTTGGTCCTGTAGTTGGGACAATTGGAATTGACAAAAGTAGATACACGAAGGAAATAGCGACTAACTTCGTTCCGATCAGGACACGCATCGGCCGGAAAAGATTAAAAAAGGATCCTTACTCAAGCTCGCAAATAAGTATCGCGAAGATGATGATGAGCAACAGTCTTATTCGAACTATCTGCTCTCCGTCTTCAATGGATGAACGATACAAGTAAAATCAGACGCGGCATGTAATACGGCTGCATGCGTAGACAGATGGTTTGTCGACGCATGCAAATGCATCTTTGTCTTTCACAAGTCCGAACTCATAGATACAGTATTCAAGAAATTATCTCTATCTGCACTTGAAGATGAAAATCTTCCTCATTTCATTTTTTCATGTACCTTTTCACAAACTCCTGCGTGTTGCCGTCTTTCCAAATCCACATGCCACTCCCACTGATGCTGGTGCCGTGCTCCCCTAGGCCGCTCATGACCCCGTCGACCCACTGGCCATCGTAGAAAGCGCCCTCCGTCCACTCGCACCGGCCTCGACCGTGGCGATCGTCGTCGCGGAAGTCGCCGGCGAAGACCCAGTTGTTGGGCCAGTACATGAGCCCCTTCCCGTGCATGTGTCCGTCCCGCCACTGCCCCACATACTTCTTCCCGTTGCCCTTCTCGAACCCGGCCTCGTTCCACTCGATTTTTCCGAACCCGTTCACGATACCCTCACTAAACTGCCCCTCAAAGTAGCTGCCGTCGCTGAGCAGGTAGCTGCCGGCCCCGTGCTTCCGCCCGTTGAGCATCCACCCCTCGTAGCGGCTGCCGTCTGGGTAGATGACCGGCTCCGTGGTCTTGTACGGCTGCGTCCGGTCCTCGACCACCTCGATGGGGGGCTTGTGCAGTTTCGGCTCCCCAACCGGGATCTCAATGTCGATCGGCTCGCCGTCCTTGCCTCGCATCTCCATCACGTGCACCTTCTTGTGGCGGCCGCGGATCGCGTACCAGAAGAGGAAGAGCACCAGCACCCCGATCGCCGCCCCGCCGCCAATCATGACAGGCGGCTCCAGCAGCGGCGTGGCCTCGGTCGCGGACTCCGAGTCGGCCTGCGAACCGGTTGGAATCTGCCGCGTCACCGTGGTCGGCGCCGCGACGGTGAGGCCCGTGACGGCGAGCCCGGACAAGGAGCTGTCGTAGGTCTGCACCGCGTTTTGGAACGTGGACAGAAAACTCGACTGCTGATTGGTGATGGCGGAGTCGAAGTTGCTGGCCGTGAGCCCAATGGAGGCTGCACTTGTCCCCACCGGTGCAACCACGGTGAAGGCCACGGCCGCCGCTTGAGTGGTTTGCAGCTGCCGCTGTTGTAATCTTCTCTCGCGCAGGACGAGGAGGCTCGTGGTAGAAGCTGCCGCGGCGCCGAAGGTCACCGACGTCACTTCAACGTGATCCACGGTCAGCTCCGCGATGTTCAGCTTCGTAATCACTGACGTTTTCGTAGCACTGGTAATGGCGTTTCGCCACTGTGTTTCCTCCGCCGAGCCGGCGGTAAAGCTGGGCACGTTGAAGGAGAGCCGGGAGGCCAGACCCTCTTGCGTCTGCACCTCTGCGCCCTCCACGACGCACATTGGTGCCGTGCCAGGAAGCAACACCCCGTCTTTGCATTCGTAGAAACCGTGCAGCGTGTGCCCGTCCGCGCAAACCGGTTCGCATCTCGTGGCTGGTAGAGCGATCCCATCGAGGCAGGTACCGAAGGTTTGCTGGTTCACAACGGCAGGTGGCTGCGTGGTGCAGGAGCAGCTCGCAGGTGTGTTTTCTTTGTGCGTACAGGCTTCCTGTGTGCGGTCCGCTGATGCTGGAATCGTAGCGTTATTGGCCGTACAGTACTGGAGATCGACCTGGATTTGTGATGTCGATGATGTGTAATTGCTTGCGTCAAAAACTTCACTGTATCCGGCTATAATTTTTGCGCATCATGATTTGCCTACTTTTGTTTAGCTGAATCGTATGGTGGTCACGATCAGCTTGCTCAGTTTCAGTGCGACTAGAACCCAGACAAAGATTTGTCGCGGCACGGACGCAACAGCAGAGCCGGTCCAGGTCCAGAAGCAACTTCCTTACAAAAAAATCGTCAAAGTTAAAGTGCAGCTACAGCTTGTCTCTAGAATATTATAAAATCGCTTCATCTACGTTCTCGCGGTGTGTATGACTACTGGCAGAAGGCAGAAGAGAAAGTCCGGCATAATTTGGTCGCATCTCATGGCGTGCGAGCTACTGTCTAAAGTATGCAGCAAATGAAATCATCAGGCTGCAGCTGCGACATGCGGCTGCCGAATGTAACAGCTCCTTTTAATTATCTTTTATACCATCGTCTTGACGTGGTTGGTTTTGTTGGTGTATTGGCACTCCAGCGGCCGATAACGGACTCCAGGCCCGCAGTTTGCATTGGGGTACTCGCACTCAGTCCATCCGGCGCTTGCCTCGACATAGCCGAACCCGCCTTCGATGGGTGGCAAGTGACAGCGATCCCCGACGTATCCATTGACGCAAGCGCAACGGGACTGCGGCCCACCGGTGCAGGAGCCTCCGTTCACACATGGCGGGCACGTGCAGAATTCTCCGGAGTATCCGTTCTGGCACTGGCAAGCACCGGTCACTTCGTTGCACGTGCCTTGTCCGTTGCAGGTCGAAGCCGCGACGCAGTGCGTGGTGCAGTTCCCCTCCGGGTAGTAATTCGGTTCACATGTGGCGCATCGTGGCGCGGCGAAGCCGGGCTTGCACTTGCAGATGCCCGTCCCCACCACGCCCGGCTCCTGCCCGTCGTAGCAGCCGATGCTTCCTCCTGCGGCGCAGTCACACGCTAGATTGCAGTAGTGGTTGTCGGTGGGGTGTTTTCCGTAGAAGCCCGGATTGCACCGACACTGCACGGTTGGGGTCAAGTTGTCAAACCATTTTTGCACATTGAACGTGTACAGCAGTCGGTTTTGTGCGCTGGAATCAGTTGGCAAGAACATTTTTCGTCCCTCCCAGCTCCCAAAGAACTCGGACATCGACCGCAAGTTTTGCTCCTGATTAAAGATTTCCACGGATACGAAGCTCATACTGTTGTCTGCCGAGGCTTGGAGCGACGTGTCCACGAGAATGTGGGTATTTAAGTCTTCAAACGCTTCTTGGAGAACGTCGGACAGCCCTCTCTCGCGCTTGAACCCAAATTCGTCTCCGGTGTCGTCGTCGTCGGCACTCGTCTCAAGGCCCTGTCGCCGCGCACGAATGGCTTCCGCCCGCTGTCGCTCGGGCTCTTGCCGCATCTGCAGCTCCGGTACCACGCGCGGATTGTGCAACGGGTTGGAACTCACCTCGGTGACGATACTTTCTCCATTACTCCTCAACGCCCTCGTGTTGTGCGCATTGTGCAGCTCCGAGTCCGTACCGGGCCACCGCTTGCGGGGCCGGTGCTTCCCTAACGTCTGCAAGCGACCCAACCAACTATCGTATGCTCGCGATGATCTTGCTTCGCCATCTTCCTCTATCTGATGTTCCTCGGCGCTGGCAAAAGAGGGCGCCGTCAGCACGTCGGCGAGATTTCGCTGGAGCCGCAAGGCGGGAACCAGCGGGCCATATACATCGGAAGACTGGAAAGCCGAGTGACAGGTTCCTGCGCCACAAGCGAGCTGCGAGGCGAGAGTGACTTGTTGGTCCGACGCTTTGCTCGCGAAAGTGCTGTCCAAACCGCCGGACTTGCAGGAGTGGTCGCAGTTTGATCCGTAAAAGCCGTCGGCGCAGTGGTGACAGTGCGCTCCCTGCCAGTTGAATTTGCACACACATGTGCCGTTGCCGGCACGACTGAAACTTCGCGGCGTCGTGCCGTTGCGGAGACACTGATTCTGGTCACTGCACGTGGGGCCGTAGGTCTGGCCAGTGCCATCACACATACAGGAGCTAGGGGGAAACAAATTGTTCTCGTCCAGCAGATTCAAATTGCATGGCGTGGTCGTGGAGCTGGTCGTCGTGAATTGGTTCGGATCGGCCGGGGCGACCGCGGATATCGCCAGCACTTCGGCATTGAGGCCCTGCGACTTCATCGCGTCGGCAACGGCCGTAGCGTTGGTCAGTGCCGCATTCGGTTCCGTCACGAGCGACCGCAGCTGGTTCCAGGAGGAATACGCCTCTTCGTGCGCTGCTGCGCTCGCATTCGCGCTCGCCTGCTGCCCGCTCGTCAGGAAGGTCACATTGTTTGCCACTGCCGCTGCCTGCACCGCGGCGACCTATTGATTTTTTAAAATCGAAGTCTTCTACTAAGTCGTGTGAACATATTGAGTTTTGGTCATAATTGATCTCTCGCGCTTTTCTTTTTCCAACGAACCTACCATACATTAAAAAATGTACTGCACAGTATTCCAGGTATGGCTGCAATACAACATCACACACGAATCCTAGCTTCTCCAGTGAAAATGTCTACACGAAGCGATGAGAGCAGTAGATGCAGCAGAACTACCACGATACATACACACAAAGACTTAATTGATAGATAATGTGAATTTAGTGAAGATGTAAATAGCAGTGCTTTTCCACCAACTACATGTCGTCTACAGTACCTGTTGTGCCTGCTCCACTTGCTTCGCTGCTACTTGCTGTGCAGCCGCCGTATCGTTCAATCCGGAAGCCAAAGCGTCTGCGAGCATGATGCTCGCAGGCACATTGGCCAACGGTGCCTGCGAAGAGACACTATCCGCTGGCGTTTCCTTAGCCTCAACCGATTCCGCGGTCAAAACAGGCTTGTCTTCTTCGACCTGATAGGTTTTTTCAAGGAGAATGAACCGACGTTGTACAAGAACTTTGGAAACATACACGCTTCTTTGTTGTATCTAATGTATTTGGATAAAAAAATTTCAAACCAACTGCGCACTTTTGGCGGCCGGCAATGCTTATTCTTATGTATGTTTCGTGTTGATATAAACTCAGGTCGTGGTAGTCCCCGTCGTAGACTTAGTTTTTTATTTTTTAGTTAATGCATGAAAATGGCGCGACTACAAACCTCAGTCTCCCTGGCACGACAAAATCTTCGCTCTGTTCCGTGATCTTGAACATGGAAATACACGAATGGATTTAGAAACAGCGTCTCATACCTCGTAATTGACGTTGACACTTCCCGCCTGCACGGACACGACTTTGATGCGACCCAAAGGGATGCCGAGGAGGGTGGCAATCGAGTTCCGAAAAGATAGCTCGTTAGCGGCGGCATTTGATTCCCACGTACTGATGTCCATGGAGATCTTCATGTCGACCTGAACCACCGCGACCGTCTGCAGGAAAAAGCCTTTGTGCACAATTTGGTGGGAGTTGGTCGTGGTCCTCTGGTTGTACGTGTGCGCCACGGTGCCACCAAGTCCGCGCAGAACCATGGTAAAGAACTTCTGCTGCGGGTTCTGCACGTGCGCCCCGTGCGGGAACGCAGTCTCGGCGGAGGCCGCCACGCTGCCGGCGCACGGCGCGGCGCGGGTGCAGGAGGACTGGGCGCCGAAGGCGTGGATCGGTACTTGCTTGTTCAACTTGTCACCCCCGACGGTGAGGTCGTCGATGGCCTCCCCGTCAATGTAGGGCCGGATCTTCAGTGGGGAGGAGAAGTAGATTTTGACCACCACCCATTCGGTGTTGATGAACGAGAAGAAGTGCAGCCACTGGGTCTGCGGCATACTGGCGGGGATCACCAGCTGGTACTCGTTGTGCACCTCCACCGCCATGGGGTAGAAACTGTGCCCGAACTCGCAGCCCCGGGGGCAATCGAGATGATCGTACATGTGCTGTCCCGCCGTCACGCGCCCGTCTGTTTTGCGGGTGATCGCAAAGTGCCCCAGCTCCCGCCGATCCCAGCCGCAGCAATCGTGATCTGCGGAATCCCAGTTCAACAAGGCCATGGGCATGTTCTGGCAAACGTAGCTGCCGCGGGCCGGGTCCGTGCACTTTGAGGCGTCGGTGAGCGCGGACACATCGGGCAACACTGTGGCGCGGCCGGCCGGGCCGGTCACTGACTTGCCTGTCAATGTGCCGTCAAGATCGGACAACCAGAACTGGAACATGCCCGGACTATGCAGGGAAAGCGACTGACTCAGAGGTACTGACTGCTGCGAGCCCTCAGAAAAAGCACACCGCAATAATATACCAGAGAGCAATCAACTCCCTGCGCTCTGGCACTGGGGTAATGACATACAGTTACAGATACAGATTTTTAGCGCATGAGCAGAAAAAAAATCATCTGCCGGTGCGGGTACGGCTACGGCCTGCAAAACAAATAAAAAGTATCTCGATAGGATTGGTAGTTTTCATCTAGGGCAGCAGTCACTCTGTACGACCACTCGCTTTCTTTCCATATGGACACCCTGGGTAGTCACACGAGGTGTCGGAGGACCCCTTACCGCGAAAGTAGCTCAAGTAGAACCGACCGTCAGAGGAGGGGTTCATTTCGGGAGCGTTCGAGAGGCGCCGGCGGGGGCTTTGCACCAGCGATTCGCCGTCGGACGCTTGCAATTGGACAACTTCCCCTGCTTGTTCTGTACTGGATGAGGTAGAGGTAGAAGACACCAGCGCTCCTGATTCGAGCGCACTTCTCGGCGCGGTAGCCAAGGACCAGGCTCCCAAACGAGACGGCTCTTCACTCGGGCCCAGCAAGGAGGAAAATTTTGCGATCTTCTTCGAAGATCGCCTTTTCTCCAGCAACTGCCGCCAGGGGCTGGACAACCTGCGTTGATCAGCGTCCATCATCAAGCGCTTCTGCAGTGCACACGAACCGCCACTAGAAGTAGATGAAGAACCGCAAGAAGTCGACAACACTTGCTCTTGGTCGCTCGTAGCGAGTAACAAGCCACGGCCCCCTTCAGCGCCGTGGTCATTGACATCATCGTACGCTACCAGCGTCTTGGGGAAGAAGTGCTCGTCGAGTTTGTGCCAAATGTTCTTCGGATTGCTGTAATCGAGCAGCTTCACGTGTTCCGCTTCGTGCTCCTGGTTCCATCGGCCGTCCGCAGCAATACCAGATAAGCGGCGCATGCTGGCGCGATTGTGGCCCACCCAGGTGACGCCGCGAAAGTCGATGTTTGGGTTGAAGTCGCGGGCGGTTGGGTTGTACGTAATCGCGACTGAGTTGCGACCGCACCGCCCGACGGGTGCGCCGAGGTACATTTCGTCCTTGTGGTGGAAGTACCCGATGCGAATCGTGTCCACGAGGAACTTGCCGTAGCGGCTTCCGCGGATCCCGTACCGGTTTTCCCACGGCATCGCGCAGGTACGGTCCGGGATCAGGGCCTTGGGCGCAAAACACTGAGAATCGGGGATGTTCGGGCCGTCCTCGCAGGTGAAGCCGCGGTTCGTCACCGTGGGCGCCATGAACCCGATGTGCCGGAACGCCTTTCCGACGACGGACGGAGCCGTAGTTTGGTACAAGTCCGACGCGCGCGCAGAGCGCCCGTCCAGGGAGTCGGTGCAGGTGGAGATGTCCGTGGTGCCGAGGATGTCCGAGTATTCCAGAGTGAATTCAAGCGAGGTCTCGCGCTCCTGCCGGTGGAAGTGACCGTGGATGCCGATGTGGTTGTCGGACACAGTTACCTTCCGGAGCTTCAGCGAGCTCGGCTGGTCCGCCCACGTGATCCCCAAATGGGCGTTCTTCCAGGCCGTCAGGTATTCAGCAGTAACGCACTCGTAGCCCGTGCCCGCGCAAGCCGCCGGACCGCCGCCGGCTTTGCTGCAGCCACGGCGGATGTGAAACCCGACCAAATTCCCGTAGGCGTGGTTGCGGGACGACTGCCGGTCCGGTAGATGCGCACCGTACACGTTGCGCTGCGCTTGGTTGTCGCACGCCGGCGGCCGGAAGATGAAGCCGTGGTCCCAGGAACCCGCGGCGATGTTGCGCTGCAGACTAGAGACGCTGCCGTCGTAGTGCGAGTCGTAGGTTTGGAACATGGCCCGCGGCCAGTACACGCTGTCGATGGTGCGCAGTCGCTCGTCGATGTGGCGCCACATGGTGGAGCCAAGATTGTCCTCGATCTGGATGTCCCGGCCACGGAACACGTGCACCGCCGGGCCGTGCAACCGCGAAAAAAAGTTGTTGCGCACGGCCACGTTTGCCGGCCCCGCGATACGCAAGGCCTCGAAACCAGACACGAAGAAGGAGCACTGGTCCACGGAGGAGGCGCGGAAGTCGCGACCGGTCCCGGAGAAGAAGTACAGGGAGGGAATCTGGTAATACATTTTCCCCGTCTGCCGGAGGTACACGCTCGACAAGGCTGCTGTCCCCACGATCGAGCCGTCCTCGCTATCGACCACCGTAATGCCCGCCCCGTGGTTGAAGTTGTGATCGAAGCCGTGGGGGAACTGCTGCGGGCTGAGACTGGCAGTCTCGGCCGAGCCGAACCGCACATTGCGGTCGAGCAGCGCGACGTGCGCCTTGAACCAAATGTCGGCGTTCCCAGCTAGAATTTTGCCGGAAAAGTGCCGGCTCTGCGCCTGACCCTGAATACCAATCTTCACTGCTTTCCCGAACTCGAACTCGCTCCCGGTGACCAGTTCCGGCGCACTGGTGATGCGGAAAACTTCGGCTTGCGTCTTGATCTCGGCTGCTGAGTAGGGGTACTCGGTTGGAGTCACCTCGATTTCCATGCCGACTTTCCACTCTGTCAAAGCAGCCTCGCAATCCACGAACACGAAGCGGTCGGTGGGGTGCGCAGTCTTTGCCAATCCGGTGAACGGACACACCAGCGGCTTGCCGTGCATCTGGAGCTCGCCCAAGACCCCGATCAACTTGTTGTTCATGTCGATGCCGTTCCGCATTGTGATCCCGGGCCACCCTTCCCCGTGTTCGCCGTAAATCTGCCGGCACTCGGCATTGGAGTTGGGACAGCTCTCTGGTCCGTGCAGCAGCACCTCCGCGTTCCCGAGGTACGGATAGCCTTTGCTGCCGACGAACATTTGGCCGTGCAGCTGCACCGCGTGCGCGCGCAGCGTTTGCGTGCTGGTGTGGTTCGCGCAGTCCGTCCACCCCGTGGCGCACATGTCTTTCACCCCGGTGATGAACTGGTTCTGTTTTTCCGTGGTGTTGTAGAACACCTCGTACTCTCGGCACGTCAGCATGCTGGGCTGGTCGTTCTTCCGACACGGCTTCTCCAACGGGCAGTGCGACGTGCCCGTGCCCGGGTCCGTGCAGAACTCGTTCTGCAGCAGTGGCGGCATAAAGGTGAGCTTCCCCAGAACCGTCAGCCGCCGGATCGCGGCAGTCTCCGTCGTCAGAATCACCGATTTGAACTCGTCGATCGTGACCACCTCATTCGGCTCGGGCACCTTGCCACTGGGCCAGGTGTCCGGGTTCTCCCAGAGCTGCGCCGTCGCGGACGTCTGCGCCGGCGCCACGGGGCAGCCCTCGACGGGGCACTGGAATGCGATGGGGTTCACCGTGCTCCACCCCGTCTTGAGGCTGTGTACCACCGCGAGGCTCCCGCTCGCACCCATGTCGGCCAACTCCTGCTGGTAGCGGAAATCGGTCGTCGTGTAGCTGAAGGTCAGATTGGTCGGCACCGTGATGGTGCCGGCGTCCAGGTCGTCGCGGCCGAGCGCCTGCACGGTCTGGAACACACCGCTGCCCGAAGACGTCTCTTGCGTGAAGGTGAGGAAGTTACTCAGGTACCGCTGGATCAGCCGGTCGGGGTTGTCGCGGTCGCGCCAGTCGCGCGTCAGCATTCCAAACCGGTCCATGGACTGCTGCACCTCGTACAGGTCCAGCGGATGCGTCACCAGGTGTGTGTCCGATTTTGTGACCCGCAGTTCCGGCACGTCCGTTTCGTTGGTCCAGCCAGTCGTTGCAGTGCCGTCCGTGCGAAACTGCCCGCCCGGGTGCTGCACGACCACCTTTTTGTACGTTTGGTAGCTGTGGTGCGCGGTGCTGAGCTGACACACGCCCTCCGCGAACCGCGCACAGCACCCGTTTCCGGTCGCGCGGAACGTCATGAACATACAGTTCGTCTCGAGCAGACACAGTGCCTTGCACTGCGCCAGAGAGGTGCGCTGCCCCGCGGTGTTCTGGTCGTCGCAGTCCGCGTAGTACCCCGTGCGCGACTTACGAAACCCGGCCGTGTCGCAATACCCGGTTCCGTGCAGCAGCATGTCCTTCTGACCCGTGCTGTTGCTGAAGCTACCCAGCTGCACAAACATCGCGTGCGCGCCGTGGCCGTGGTACGGCGTGGGAAACTCGTTGAGCTTTTGGCTCGGCTCGAACTCCGTGTGTACCCGGTACAGGGCGTGGGCCCCGTCCCAAGTCGAGGCCAACTTGCCGACCTGGAAGGTCTTGCGGAAGTTCGGTCGGAAGTAGGGATACATGGTGCCGCACCACTCCTCGTCCTGCCGCTGCCACCCGTGCCCGATCCACGTGGACCATTTCATGAAGTCCATCGGCGTGGGGTGCGGGTCGAACGAGTACCAGAAGGGCAGCTCCGCATAGCGGGCGTATGGCGTGTGCCCTATCGTCGACGGGTACATCGGCATCTGGCCGGTAGTCACGCTGTCGTCCATCACCATCGCCGGCGGGGCTACGTGTTGTTTGTTCCATTTGGCCAGCACCATAGGCCAGCACCACCCGTTGTGGCCGTTCGGCGAGCACGCCATCGACCGGTAGGGGATATCGTCGTGCCCCGCCGCGGAGCTGACGCGCAGCTCGTGGTTGTCGAAGTTGGGGAGCGCGTACCCGGTGAAGTCCATGATCCCAGCGTACCGTACGTGCACGTGCTCACGGTTGCAGTGCATCTCCTTCGAGTTTGGCGCGTTATCGATGAAGCGGCACAGGGGCCCGGTCGCTGCGCGGTCGTAGGCATCTGCGTTGGGGGGCGGCACGACGCCTTGCGGGGTGTGGAGCGCGAGCGAATTCCGGGTCCACTGGTTGAAGCCGAACTGGCCCGTCATGTAGCCACCGTGGGTCGTGAACCCGGTGACGGAGCCGTCCAAATCGTGCCAGATTGCGTACCGGCTGTAGGATTCCGTCCACAGCAGCCCCCCGGTCGCGTTCACCAGGGTGACGGCACTCATGCGGTGCGTGGGCACCAGGTAACCAAAGGCGGGGCAGTTGAAGCCGCCGGCGAACGGCGGCTGGTCGCCGTAATTGACGATGGTGATGTTGTGCATCCAGTACCCGTCCTGCCCGTTGAAGTAGAACCCCAGACCCGGGTTGCGCCGGTTGGGCTCCTCCATGTCCCCGACCATGAGCCAGTTTTGGAACATCGGCCGCGCCGGGTTGTCGTCCGGGTCCGTAAACTTCGTGACGTAGCCAACGCCCGAAGGCTCGATCACGTTGAAGTCCCAGTAGTGGCAGGGGTTGCAGAGCTTCACAAACAGCGTCGCCCCGCAGTGCACCGCGGTGAACTTGTTGACGTACAAGTCCAGGTTCGGAGCCCACGCCGGGAAGAACTGGATGGCCATGCCGCAGCCCACAGCGGAGTTGTTGACCATGTGGTTGTACTGGATGCTCTCCCCCGCGAACTCGCCTTTCGGGTTGAAGCGGTACCCGAACGCCGAGGCGTAGCCGACGTTGCTGTCCCAGATAACGCTCCCATGCACTGCCCAGTAGGCCGCCGGGGTGGTATCGTCCGCGAGGCCGAGCACCATCGGCAGCGCCTTGATGAACACGTTGTTGCGCCACACGGTCTCCTTTTCGTCCCCGTTCTCGATCTGCATGTTGTGAGCCTTGATCAGGTACCCCACGTTGCCCTCCGCGACGGTAAACTTCGTGGAGTGCGCCACCACGCCGCGCATGAAGGAGTGGTGGATCGCGCAGTTGTGAACGTACGACTTGTACACGTCGACCTGCCGGCCCGGGGACATCTTGTGAAAGTGCGTGCAGTAGCGACCCATCTGGCCTCCCTGGCCGCAGTTCCGGACCTCCACGTCCTTCAGCCGGTATTCGCCACCGTAGAACGCACCGGTGTGCACGCCCCAGTCGGCGAGGTGCGAGTCCTGCGAGCCCTGGATCACGATGTTGCGCGACAACGTGCAGATGTGGGGCCGCAGATCCGGGATTGTGTTGCGGTCGTCCGCAAAATACCGGTACTGGATGGCCTCGTGGTAGTTTGCCAGCGGCTTTGCGAGGAACAGCACCGCCACCTCCTCATACTCCGGAGGCTTCATTTCTGTGACCACCGCAGCTCCGGTGCTGGCACGCATTCCCTCGCCGAAGGGCCCCACGGATTGGTCTCCGCTCACGACCGTCGGCACGCCGTCAATCACCAGCATCCCGTTGGCGCGGTCGTACAGGGTGAGGTTTGCGGAAACGAGCGTGGCCTCCTCGACAGGGTGGGCGAGGACGAGGTCGTAGCCCGGCTCCCAGTTCGGCAGGGCGTCCACGATCACAAAGTCCTCGCCCGGGTTGGCAGACTCCGCGAGGCGCACACAGTTCCTGGTCCGCCGCCCGTGGATGTCCAGTTTCCCGACCTTGCGTGCGATCGAGCTGTCGCCACCCAAATTGCCCTGGTTCGTCACGACCACCATCTTCTGCCCGATGTACGGCAGCTCCACGGTTTTGTATTTGTCGCCGTGGAGGGTGAGGACAACGCGGTTCTCGTAGGGAATCAGGTCGGTCCCGATTTCCAGCGTGCCACCGTGGACCCAGAACCACGTGGAATCGTAGGTGAGCCGCGGTTTCGTGTTATCGAACACCATCACGCCCGCCACGTAGGTGAGTCCCAGCTGGGGCACGGACTGGTCCACCATGATGGCCTGCCCCTCGGGGACCCACGCGGAGTCGCCCCTCCGCGGCAGCTCCTCGTTCAGCCAATTGGCCGGGTCGCTCCACTTGTCCAGATAGCGGTAGAAGATGCGCAGCCGGTCCGTGCGAATCGCGAATCCCTTGCCCGGGATGCGAACCGAAAAGCTCGAAGGCTTGATTCCGTCGGACCGGGGGGCAGTGCGACACTGCATCGAGTCGTCAGTTCGGTTGGCCCAGTTGGTCACTTCCATGCAATCGTAACCGTTGAACGCGACCTCTGCAAATCGGGGCCGGAACAGGTACGACTCGGTAACGCTGGTGTTGCTGGTCAGGTTCTGCACGCGATCGGAGATATTCTGCGCGTCGCGTTCCTGCATGACGATTTCCATGAAGTCGTCCAAGTCTTCTGCTCGCACCGCAGGTGCAACCAGCGGTCCGAATGCGGCCGAGTTCACACCTGCGCTTCCGGTCGCAAAAACATCACCGAGATTTTGCCCGGAAAGAGTCACAAGGGTGTTTCCACGGGCAGTGCCGTTTCGCGGATCGACGTCGGATATGAATGGCGTCAGGTGGTGCATTGCCTTGTAGTACAGCAGGTCCTGACTGTTGTGTCTGCGGAGCGTCTCGCTGGTGCGGAGGAAACGCACTGCAGAGGCGAGAATTGGACCTGGCCCTTTGGAACCCACCGCCGTATCATTGGAGGTGCTGTTGTCGTCCGCAGGAGCGGTGGACGAGGCAGCGCTAGCCCCCGCAGGAGAAGTTGCGTTCACGTCAATTTCAATGTGGTGCACGACTGCCGATGTCGAGACGTCGGAGTTGGACGTGTGCACGTACGAAGTCAGGTCGAGATAGTACACTCCGCGAGTGGCCATCGACAGTCCGGACGCGAGCAGCGTTGACTGAACGGAACCCGCAGTGCCAACAAGTTCGACACTGTGCAGCTCTTGGCGATGCAACGTGCTGTTTGACCCTGCCGCTGTTCCGTTTCCGAAATGGCTGAAAGCCGGCGTGATGTAGCCGTGCACGTGACTGTTGCCTGTACTCTTTGTTGCGTGCACGCGAATGTCAAATTGGGCTCGCTCATCGTCCACAAGGAAAAGGAACCGTCCGTAATCCCGCGGATAAACCGGCGCCATGTGATTGGGCATCATGACGAACCCGCTCGTGGTCTGCGAGAGCCGAACGGTGTGCAGCTTGCCGGGCACCGGAGAGGTGGATTCGTAGGAATCCGTTGCGACTTGTACCGCGCGGAAGGAGTCTCCCGGAATCACCGAGGTCGTCGAAGAACCCGCGCTACTAGCGTCCCCAGGAGCTCGGTTCGCGAGATTCTCGTAGTGCGCGTCTGGGTGTTTCACCTTCTCGACCACCACTGGGCAGTGGGCGCCGCTGGCGTACGCGGCGGCGGGAATCACATATCCCGTGAACTTCACTTCGCGCAGCCGACAGCCGGCCGTACTCTGTCCGAGGTACCGGAAGACCCGCCCGATGAAGGGCGCATCTAGGTCGACGGTGTTCCAGCCGCCCTTCACGTAGCCCGAACTCGGGATGGAGTACATCGTGGTGTACCCCCCGGTTCCCGTGTCATTGGCGACCTGGAACCGCGTGTTGCGTAGCGTTGCACGGTCGTCCTGGGAGTAGGGCGGATAGAACTTCACTTGTTTCACCAAGGCCAGGTACCCCTCGGGCAGGGTGAAGCCGACGCTGCAGTCGGACCCCGGCAGGTCGGGGTAGTCGACCAGGTCGTTGTCAAAGAGTTGCATGAAGCGCCAAAAGGACGTGTCGGTCATGGCACCAGAGTGACTTCCAAAAATTCTAGCGGGCTCACTCAAGAACGGCGACACGCGAATGTCCTCGTAGAAGTACTTCCGGTCGTTTTCCGTCATCTCGGAGTTGTTGAAATACAGTTCGTTCAACAAGTGCAGATTCTGGTGCCGCGGGGTGCGCACTGTGAGTTGATCATACCGCGCGGCTCTCACCTCCGCGGGTCGTCCACAGATCGTCACGGAATTCTGGTCCGGCGACGTGCCGAAACCCCGGCCGTGGATGTGGAGGTCGACCCCTCCTCCAAGCCCGCCCTGCAGCGGATCGCACGAGGTGGCGGCGTTGGGCTGCTGGCAGGGGAGGTCCAAGGCCTGCGCCGAGGTGTTAGCGCTTCCCGCGGGGACAATGCCGGTTAACGAACTTACCCCCGATATCTCAAACAGACTCTGGAAGACCGCGGGTTTTCCCTGCACCGAGGACCGTGCCAAGGTGTACCCGATGTTCGGTTGGTACACTTTCACTTCGTACAGTCCCGCCGGAACCGTGTTTGCCGCAACGGTGCATTTGATGTGCAGTGCCTCCACCGTCGCCGAGCTGTCGTCCATTGCACCCAGGCGCGCCGGATGATCCACCGGTGAGACGTCTGCTAAGTACCGCCATTCCGAAACCTCGCAAGCAAGTGCACTGTCCCAGTCCATTCCTTTGCCGATGACCACCATGGGACTAGACGGCGGCTCCGCAACGTCACTGCGCGGCAATTGCTCCCCGGTGCCGTTTCCGCGCAGATGCGGAGGCGGGTTCTCGACAAACACGTCGATTTCGGCCCCGCCGAACCCGTGCGGGTTGGACACGTGGCTAATGTAACTAGTGCTGTCGTACGTGAAGTTCACCCGCGCGACGTCCGACAGGTAAGACGGAATTTCGTGCTCCACGTCGCCGTAGCCGATCGAATCCGGGTCGTCCAAGCGATAGGGCACGAATCCCATGTACTGCAGCGTGGCAGCCTCGGATTTGTGATTGAAGCGGCCGATCGACGTGCACAAATCGTAACTCAGAATGCACTGTCCCAGCTTGAGGTCGACCCCCAAACTGAAGGACCGACAGCCCTGCCAGAACCGGTCCACGCACTCCTGCTCGCAGTCCTCTCGTGTGAAGATCTCCATCGGCAGCAGCTCGTTGGCTTTCGCGCCCGGCGCTGCGGAGGACTGCAAACAAACCCCCTCAGACTGAACGGCAGTCGACGTAAGGTTCGTTGGCCGAATGCCGAACTGGATGTTGGGCACGTTCAACCACGAGGCGAAATCCGAATGGGAATGAATCGGCGTGTCCGCGTTCGGGGTGATACAGCGAAACTCGGTGTGGGTTGTCTTTTTCATGGGGCACTCGCCGATCGTGAGCATTTGGGGATGCTTGCACGTCGTCGAGGACGGATCGGGCGGGTCGAAAATCGTGTTGTAAACAAGAAAAACCGAGTGATAGCCGGTCTCAAAGCCGAAGCCTCGACCGGTGATCTTCACCTGCGTCCCGCCAGCGATCGATCCGCTTCGCACGTCGATGCTGGCCATGTCAAAGGCTTGCGAAAAGCGAAGGTTCGGCGTGTGTCGTGTCCCTGTCATGTTCAAGGCGTATGTCAAGTGGTGTTTCAACGTGGAATTAAAATTAGCCGGGAGTTGGTGGGGCTGGATGTTGCTTGCCTGCAAATTTGACGCCGTGTAGTCCGCCTCGATTTTCAAATAAGAATTTTGCATCCCAGCCGGAAACTGGCAAACGTCGGCGTTCAAAATCGAAATGTCCATCGAGCCGCAACTCGAGCCGAACCAGCCCTCGTAGCAGTTGCAACTCCCATCCATGGGGTCGCAGAACCCGTGGCTCGCGGCAGTGCAGTTCGTGTTGGCCTCGCAGTACGTGCCACAGGTCGGGCCGTAGTAATTGCGACCGCACTGCGAGCAGTCGTAGTTGCCATCCCAGTTTTTCTCACAGGAACAACTTCCGTCGGACGCACAAGCGCCGTGCCCGTTGCATGTGGTCGCGGCGTCACAGTAGGTGAAGCACTGGCCCGCCGGATAGTAGTTTGGCGCGCACTGGTCGCACTTCGCACCGCCCCAACCGGGCAGGCAGGTGCACGCTCCGGTCTGCTGATCGCACGAGCGAGAACCTCGCTGGTGGCACTCGCACTTCTGGTCGCAGAGGTCCCCGAAGTAACCGGGCTTGCAGACGCAGTTCGTGGAACTGCACGCGATCGTGCCCCGGGCGTTGCACAGTTTCGGCAAACAGGACAGTGCGCAGATGCCGTGCGGAACAAAGCCCGCCGCGCACTCATCGCACCTCGCCCCCGTCCAGCCCGGTTTGCAACTGCAGGCCCCGGTGTAGGGATCGCATTGACCGCCCGCCAGCGTTCCAGCCGCGTGGCAGCTGCACTGCCCAGAGCAGTCGGTGCGGAAAAATCCGGGCTTGCATGTGCATTCTCCCGTTCCCTCTGACGTGCCCACACCATGCGCTGATTGCGTGTTCTGCGGGTGACAGGTAGAGTGATACTGGCACGCTGCGCCGTAGTAGCCGTTCACGCTGTTGGGATCTTTTGGTGGACAGCGGCACGCGCCTGTATTCGGATCGCAGTCGCCGTTGACGCAATTACAGTAGAACGAGCACTTCGGCAGAACGGAAGTAAGATCGCGTGCCGGAACGAGATACCGGTCTGTCCGAAAGCTGACGTCAACACCCGGACCGTCGTGCCCAGGCTTTTGCAGACCCATGAAAGTGTTCGCTTTGACCGTAATAGTGAACAGTTCCTGTCGAACATCGCCGGGGAAACTAAGAACAACGGCCTTGGCCTCGTTTGCCGTACTGTAGTTGGAATGGAACGCAACGTCCGTCACATTTCGCTGGTCAATCGGCTCGCAGGAAAGCGCAGAACCGCAACTCTGCACCTCGACAACGGCGTCCAAGCTTCCGCTTTTGCCTTCGACTTCCTCTGAAAACAGCAGAAAAACTCTGCTTCGATTCTGCACGTGATCAAACAACACTTCGTAGTCCACCACGCCCGGGCGCAAACCACTCGCCGCGGTCTCGTTTACTTCCACGTGATAGAACCCCTGCGTGCTTAGCGCAATGTTTTGCGGACCGTTTCCGGAGGGCTGCGCAGCACGCAGCACATTCGGCGGGATCTCAATGTGAAACGTAGCACCATCGACAAACTTATACTGCGTAATGCAATCAGGCGAAATGCCTTGCTCTTCCGGTGGAGTACTACTCGGTGGCGGCGCGGGGCTGGAACAATTGGACATGCTTGGCGCAAACACGAGATACTTCCCGTGCACGACCAGTTTGTGCACCGGAATTTCAAGCATGCCCACACCCGATGGGGCGCTCGTGCTGGGCGGCGCACTCGACGAGGGGCCGCCCGGCGACGAAGCATTTGTGTCGTTACTGGTCTCGTTCATGGTGGAGTCCACTCCGCTGCCTGGTTGCCCGGTCGGTGAAGAAGATCCTGCCGCGGGTCCCAGAAAATCAGAAGCATTTGAAGAATCTGACGCGTTGCTCATGTTGCTGCCATTTGACGTATTTGACATATTCGACCCGAAGTGGTGCGTCAAAAGACGCAGGGCTGCGTCGGCATCATAGTCCTCGTCAAAGCGAATAGCAGAAGCAGCGCTAGGCTGAGCAAAATCTTCTTCCGCTAAAGCGTACGACCCGTCTTCATCTCCTTTTTGCAAATCCTCATAATTTGCAGCCGAAGCATCTTCTGATAAACGCCTCCCGTGAGCTGCAACCCCTCCTGGAGCACTGAGCAATTTAACCATGCCTTTCGCGCCCGGTACGACTTCAATCGGTCGATCAAACGCCACAAAGACCAAGCCCTCGGGCGAAATGAAGTTCGCCTCGGGCTTTGCCACGGGCGCGGCTGGGGCGGGGTGGCTGTCGCACGGACTGAGTCGCGGGGAGGCGCCAGGGCCATGGAAATGCTGCGCCAGAAAAGCGCTGTTCAACTCCGCAATGATGCCCGTCGCTGCGGCACTGCGCGTTCCGTAGGCATCCGCAGCTACTTCTGGAACGACGGACAGCGAAAACCTCCTCCCGTCTTGCATGTCAAGAGATGCATCCCCGAAGGGCGGCGGTGCGGTGAAGCCGGTCGCGATCAGTCGAATTCGCCCGTGCTGCGCGAGGGTGACATTGGTGACAGTCATCGCCCGATTGTCGCACGATTCGGGACGGCAGTCGAGATCAAAGCCACAGTCGGTCAAAGTGAACGACGAAGCAACCGCGTTCCCCGTCACCAAAAGCTGACTAACGTCGCGCGACAAACGCAATTCAAAGGCGAGCGTCGTGTTGTCACTGAGCATCATTTCCTCGACGGCGCGATCCCCGAACGCGAGTTCCGAAATGGAATCGTTAGCGAAGCGAAGACTGTAAAAGGCCTTGGTCTCGAACAGTGTGGGTTTGGGCGCCGCTTTTGCGAGGACACGGAAATAAATCTGTCGTCCAGCGTTGAAAACGCCCGCGCCCTTCTCCGGCAATCGCATGCGGATCATCTTTGCGTGGTGGTGGTCCGACACCTCAAACATTCCCCCCGCGTCCGCCATCGTTGCGAGTTCGGCATCCGTCCCGAAATCGAGTATTCGAACGTCTTGTGCCTCAAACAGCTGCGCCACACCGGCGGAAACCGTCCACTGCACCTGCTCCCGATGCGCGTGCGCAGAGCTGATAGTTGCGTTGCTACCTGGCGTCCATTCGCAGGGTGCGAGCTCATGCGGGTTATGAGCGGTCTGGTTGATGGCACCCGAGAGCGCAAAGTCGTAGGTCGCGTTCACAAGGTTCATTTCGTTGTTCCCGGACGAATCAGTGACCAGCCCAGGCAAAATGGTGAGCTGCAACTTCCGCCGCAGAGGGTGTGGACCAGTAGCGGGGATCCGGATCTGAACAGCAAGGAGCCCGGGAATCGTGTCCGTAAACCGTGCGTCAGTGCCGTAACTCCCCAGAACACTGGCCATCGAGGCTCCTGGAACTTGGAGGGCGTTCGCCGTGTATCCCTTGTTGTACATGACACCCGTCACATGCGCGCTCACGTCCAGCATTTCGTTGTCGCACGCCGAATGGCAGTCCATATCCCAGCCGCAATCCGACAACTCGAAGAACTGCATCTCATTCACACCGTTCTTCTTCGAGATTTGATGGCTAAAGTAGACTGAAAACACAACGTGGTAGTTGCTGCCGGAAGGATCCAGAAGCTCCAGGGGACTGTCGATGTGAAATATCGGGTAGACTGGCATGCTGCGGGGCTGCGTTCCGCTCGGTGCAGTGTTGAATGTGTACTCGAGCGGCGGAGTCAGAGTGCTCAACAAACCCATCTTGTTGCCGTCCCGATCCTGTAAAAGGCCATAGCGCTCCGTGTGCAAGTGGTACGCTTTGCCAGGCTGCAGCTCAGTGAATTGGCTTTGCTGTGATGCAGCCCCGGTAGACGAGGAAGGGCCGGCAGTTTGGTTGGCTCCTGATGTCGTGTTGGCGCCGTAGAGAGTGAGCACGCTGGGGGTGAGGTACAGGTATTTGTCGGACAGAAAACGATGGAAGGGCTGGTCCTTCAGAATGGCTAGGTCCAAGGCGAAATCCGGTGGCATCGAATAGTTGGCACCACTGTGATGCGCCCTGATCTCGATCACGCCCAGGTTGGCGAAGTCGATGGGTTCCGAGAACTTAAGGATCAGGTTCTCAGTTGCTGCAGAGACCCCCACAGCTCCGTGCGCCGGATGCGAACTTGCGGTGTCCAGAATGGGACCCTGAAGTGTCATCGGAGCCTTCGGAAACCATCCTACGGCACACTGGTCGCAAGTTGGTCCTGTGAATCCAGTTTCGCAGACGCAGTCTCCGTTCAGGTTGCAGGAGCCCTTGCCGTTGCAGGTGGTTTCTGCTTTGCAGTACTTGCTGCAGCTACCGGGCGGCGCAGGATAATAGTCGGGCTTGCACGTCTCGCACAGCGCGCCACTGCGCCAGGGCCAGCACTGACACTGGTTGCCAGAGCAGCTCTGCGTACCTCCGGCATCGCAGTTTACATCGCAAGTCATGCTGCAGTTGCCGCTCGGAACACGGAAGTCTGCGCAGAATTCGCAGTTGGTGCCATTGAATCCGTCGAAGCAAGTACAGCTGCCGTCGCCCTGGTTCCCGTCGTTGCAGGTTCCGGACAGAACCGGGGTGGGCGCGAACGCTACGCCGTCGTGCATGTTCACCCGGTCGGCGTAACAACGACACTCGTTCTCGCACTTCGTACCCCACCAGTTCGGTTTGCAGTGGCAGGCTCCTGTCCACGGGTCCACCTGATGGGTGCCTGCCGGGCTGCACGCCGCGTCGTTTTCGCAGTATGCTCCCCAGAAATAATCTTCGCACTTGCAGCGAGGGTGGGTGACGTTGACCAATCGTTCCTCCGTTTCCTCATTGACCAGGGCGACCTGACCACTACTAGTGCCATTAGATTTAGAGCCATTAGTTCCATTTGTGCCATTAGCCGGCACACTCGTCGATTCCGTCACGTTCCGCATCTCTTCTCGCACAAAGGGGTGGTTGCAAACCCCCCGCTTGTTGCAGATAGCGATCGAATCGCACTGGCTGCAGTCCGCCCCCGTCCAGCCGTGATCGCACGTACAAGCCAAAATGTCTTGCGTCTGCCCGTTCACCTGTCGCTCGACGGCCCCGCACTGCCCGTGGCCCGAGCAGTGCTGTGTGGCGTTACAGAAAACGGAGCACGAATTTCCGTAGTAGTTCGCCGCGCATGTGTCACACAGCGCTCCGTTGAAGCCCTCCTTGCACTGGCAAGTGTTTTGTCCAGGCGCGGTGGTGGCATCGGAAGAGCAGGACAGCGTGTTGCGCGGGTCGCACGGAGTCTTTCCAACACAAACCGTATCGCAGTGCGGAAAATTGATGTACCCTGGCGCGCACTGATCGCACCTCGGTCCGGCAAATCCCGTCTTGCAGACGCAGGTCCCATCGGCGCGATCCCGTTGCGGGTGAAAGAGCCCGTCGTTGCAAAATGCCGTGCCGGCCTGGTGGCAATTGCAGTCGCGGTCGCAGTTGGCGCCGAACCGGTTTCGTGGGCACTGCACCTTGCAAATACCCGCGTAACTACCGTCGTTGGTACTATCACTGGCGCTGCAGCAGGCACCATCCTTCTCCGGATGGCATCGCCTGGAACACATGATGGTGGTCACCATGGACTCGTCGTTCGCCTTGGAGGCGTCATTGCCGCCGCCCGGATGCACCACAATGGGTAGCACCAACCGATGGGCCCCCGCGATGAAGCCATTCTGTGCAATGTGCACCTCTACGTGCCGCATTTCCTGCGTCAGATCAATGTTGGCCTGCAGGATCGCGATACCCGTACCCATGGTGGAATTGGCGAAGCTCTTCACCATGTCGGACGCGTGTTGCGCCACACTCACCACGTCGTTGTGATTCGCCAGATAGAACCCGCACTCGTTTCGAGGCTCGGTCAAATTTGTGAACACGGTCTCGAGGCTGGAACAGTGCCCCGCGGAAGTAGAGTCGTTGAAGCGCTTCATTTCCGGCCGCTCGCTAAATTGGCACTCGACCGCGCCGCAATCCTTGATGTGCACGTCCGCATCGGCGCCCACCGTTGTTTGCAGGGCTCTGTCAAAGTGCAGGAAGAAGAGCACAGTGGCCATGGTCGCGTTGCCAGAAGCTCCACTCGGACCGCTGTTGTGCTCGAAAACTCTGTAGTCAAAGAAAAGCATATGCGGCGCCCCGTTTCCGTCTGTAGGAGCTGGGTGGTGCTGGTTATTTGTGCTGAAGGTGTACATGGTTTCATTCGTGAACTCGTAGCCTGGCGTGGGTTGGTTCCAACCGACATACTGCTTATTTCCGACAGCGTTCGCGTCGCGGATGACCGCCTGGGAAAAATCGAGAAAGTACGTGGAGTTTTCTTCCAACGCTTGCTGGAGTTCCTGCGACGCCAGGGAGAGACGTCGACCCGCGGCATTCCGGTATCCGCCTCCTGCGACGGAGTCGTAGGGCAGCGGCAACGCGATGCGAAAAACTTCGTTCGCAGGTTCCACTTCGACATCGGTGTAGTTCACAACCGGCTGCGGATTCACAAAATCCACATAACGCTTGTCAAAAACGGCAGTGTCGTTCGGCTGCTTCATCACTTTGATAAAACCTGACACGGCAACAACTTCATGCGAAAACGTCAGAACGAGCGGGTCGTGAGGAGCGTGGTCCGATGTACCGTTTTTCGGCACGGAGTCATAAACCAATAGCTCGAGCGGGTAGCTCGGCCGCGCGGATTCGTTCGCGGCACGTGTCTGCGTAAGATTTGTCTTCGGGTGGTAGGCAGACCGACACGCCGCACAGTTTCCTGGCCCGGAACAGGGCTGATCGGTACGCTTGAAGCCGTCCGCGCACTCGAGCACCATACTGGCGGCCGTCGCAACAGCTGACGAACCGCTGCTCGGGGCTGCAGAAAGCGCTCGCGGGGAAGATACTCCCGGTGTACTATCAGGTGACGAAAAACCCATGGCTACGGCAGGTGTTGTCAAATCGGCGTGAAGCTCGGAGCTCGAATCAACTAAGTGATCACTATCCCATGCGATCCGGGCGTCATCGTCCGCCAGGTGTGCCGGTGCGGCTTTCATGCCGAACGCCGCAAGGCGCTGCAGCAGTGCACTTGAAGAAGGTTTGCGCGCCGCGGGGAGCGGCGCGGCAGAAGATGCATCATCGGCGCTAAGACCGTCCGCGCGGAGGGCACGGCGGCCAGAACCTTTTGGCGTGGCGAGCACGTAATTTGGCGGCAAAGCTAGGTTACACTCCGCACCTGTGTATCCCTGTTTGCACACGCACGATCCCCCGGAGGTGCCCCGGATGCAATGTTCCGTTCCAACCGGGTCACACTTGCACTGGTTCTCACATCGGGTTCCGTAGAAGTTTGGCTCGCAGACGCACTCCAGTTGTCCGTTGCGCACTTGGCACTCGCCTTGGCCAGCTACGCAGTGCGGACACGTGGCGGCCGGCCGCGTGATGCCTCGGTTCGTGCTGGTCAGCAGGCAGCGGGTATTGTCATAATTTCCGTGGAACAATTCGGCGCGAACCAGGGGCGTGTATGACAAGTTGTCGATGAGCTTTGTGCTCTCGTTTGCGAGCGGAAACACCGCGGGCGCGTACTCCGTGGCGAAGCTCTGGCCCTGGAGAAGATCGCCCGCAACCACAACCCCGAAAGACTCCCCCGACAAAGCCGATTTTGGGAAGACTTCGAGCGCCGCAGGGGTGCTGCCCCAGTGGGATTTGTGCATGCAAGGCTGTGGTCGAAGAGCAGGGGCCGCAGTCGTGCTAGTACCTCCGCCCGCCCCGCCCGCGGTGCAATAACTCTCGGCCTTCACCATGTTGATGACCACTTTGGCCTCGGTGGTTACGGTCGCCACACCGCTGTACCGCCCGACGCGCATGGCTTCGAACCGCTCCAAGTATGGAACAGCCGTTGTATTGCAGCGGATCCGGGTGTCCAACACCTCAGTCACCACGCAGGCGGACTTGGAGTTGGATGTCTCGTACGTACCGCGGTAGAAATACGTGAAGTTCGTTTCCAAGAAAACCGCGAAATTCGCAAGATCCAGCACCATGGTAGAGTCGGGGTTGATGGCCCGCCGCTGTTGCAGCGACATACCGGGGACCAGCGCTGGACCGGTGTGAACCACCGTCGCAGCAGCGGTAGACGAAGCAGGGGCGGTAGAAGAGTTCGTCGCATTCGACGTATTGGACGTCCCGTTGCTTTGATTGCCACCGGCGCTGGGAGGACCCGCAGCAGACAGCTCGCGGCGCGACGCGCCATACATGAGTGCTCCAACGGCGTCAAAACTATCGTCCTCGCTGGTCGTGACTTCTTCATCGTCTGATGTTAGCTGCCGATGCAATTGGCTTGACGAGGGCAATCCACCCAGAAAACCGTACCCCTCGATGGTGGTTTGCACACCGCCCGCCAGACCATGGAAATCGTCCGGGGTGACGCGTGTCACGTACATCGCGGTGTCAAGCTGCTCCCCGGTCAGCATGGCATAGCCGAATGGCTTCACCGAAATTTTCGGTGTGAGTAGGAAATCGCTCACGCCCCTGTACATTTCCGGATCCAGCACGTAGTGGTTGAACTGCGTGCGCAGGTTCGGGTCCTCCACATACGTGGGCGAGTCAAAGTCGCGGGAGAGCCGGCAGGTCAGTCGCGTCGATCTCACCTCCTTTATCAAGCAGTTGCGACTCACACGCGGCTGGCCGCTCATGGTTTCTACCAAATCCACCGTGATGTGCTCCGAGTAGTCGAACGCGGTGTCGTTTTGCGGATTCAACGAGCCCGGCAAGTCCAAATACCCCAGCCAGGCTGGCGAGAAGTCGAAGGTCAGAACGCCCGGAAACCCGACCGCGAGTTTCACGGGCGCGAGGCTTTCGACCCGGCTGGTCAGCGTCGGGTCAAATGTAAAAGTGAAGTCGTGGATGGTCTCGTGTAGAATCTTCAGACCCCGCTGCTCGCAGCTGTAGTGCGGGGCGGCATTGCACGCCACGGCGATGTAGGGCACACGGCAGTACAAATTATTCGGCAAGATGTGGTCCTTTTTGCTGAAGCTCGTGCCGTCGTAAAAGAGCGCGGCGCGCGTCACGTTGGTTGTGTTGTCGGCGGCAGGTCGGTCCGACTCTTCGAGCGTGATGTTCCACATGTCTTCCCGGTGCGTGGCGTTTGCGTTCCAGCCCAAGTGAATGTGGGCGCAGGTGATTCGCTGCAGGCCAAATCCAGTGAACTCGATTTCAGTGCCGCCTGCAAGGGACCCCGACGTCGGGTAAACGTTGTGCAGTTCCAACGCCACGTCCATCGTCAGGTTCTGGCTCATCGCGAACCCCTGACCACCGATGCTGATCTCCGGCTGCAGACCCCGTCCAACCGTTCCGTCCTGCAGCGTGCAGGTCACCTCAAAGCGGGTGGCGAATTGGAAATCCTTGAGCGGATGCACGATCGAAACGTTGGCGGACTGTTCTGCTCCGGCCGCTGATGCGCCGCCCCCGGCGCCGAGAAGCGCACGGAAGTTGTCGTCATTCTGGTCCGGACAGTTCTCAACGCAACGGTGCTGGGTCACGAGGCAGTCCGAGTTCCCGACCGTGATGTTGAAGTCGGAGGTGCGCAGCCCGTACACTGAAGCGTTCACGTTCGCAAAAAGCGGCTCACCCAGCAGACTAGTCCGCACGCTCCTACCACCGCTTCGCGTGATCACCACTGTGCCGTTCTCACCCATTCGCGTTGCCGCCGACCCCTCCCCGCGCGGCGCCATCAAATGTCCGTCCTGCGTAAAGACCACATCCTCCGCGACGACGGCCGGAACACGGTTCGTTTTCCGCATGGCCATGCTCGCCTCCGGAAGCAGCACGTTGGACAGCACAAACGTCAGCTCCGCACCGGCAGTGACTGTGACCGCCGACGGACCGGAGAGCGCTGCTGATTTCGCGCCGGGCTGATTGTTTGCGTTATTAAGGACCATCACCGCCTCAACCTGTGGCGTGAAAGATTGCGAAAATTGAAAATCCGCACTCTGGATGTACTTCGATGCGGCCAGGATGTTGTTGCTCCGCATCTGTGCCTGTGGCACCGCGTGCGGCACTCGCAGCCAATCCGCAGGGATGTACTCGTAGAAAAGCGAATTTCGGTTACCGCCCTCTTGGACCATGTAGAAGTTGATCTCGGCACCGGTCCCGCCCAACTCTGCGAAGTCACTCCCGGAATACTCCGCATACAGGCGGCGGGGATCCACCGGGTCGTGGAAGGTATAGGGGTCGATGAAACGAATCCCGTACGAGAAGCCTTCCTCCGGGCGTTTTTCGTAGTCCGCGTTCCAGTCGGTACCAAGGTTGAAGACCTCGATCCGCGGAAAGATCTTCAGCAGCGCCTCCTGCACCTCGTAGCGCTTCACGTTGTAGGGCAGCGAAGTTGTGCAGCTCCGTGCCACCGTGGCGTTGGTTTTCGAAGAACCTCGGCAGAGCTTGAAGTTGCCGGACAGGGGTGCCGACTCTTCCTGCGACAGGGTAACGATACCCCGCGTGTAGGGCGTCTCGGCCGCCGTGGCGTTACGGGGCGGCACCATCTCAAAGGTTGCGTGTGTTGTCTGGCCGTACAGCCCGTGTGTGCCGCTTCCCAGAATGCAGTTGAAGGTGATTTCGAACCCGACCGCGAGTCCGGCACTGGTGGCCTGCGCCGCCGCAGCCGTGACGGTAGGCAAGCAGTCCTTGGTGTACTGGATCGTCGATCCGGCCGCTGATTTCGCTCCCCGCAGCGCCGTTTCCAACGTCGCGGTGTCCGCCTGGTCCACGCGGACTTTGTCGGTGAAGTACTCGGTGTGGCTCAGGTCGTGCGACACCTTCACCTTCACCGAGTAGAACTGCCCGGCATCCGACACGAGAAGCGCGTGCTTTTCCCGGTCGCGCCGGGCGGTCAGCGTCATCTTTTGCATCTCGTACAGGCCGCTGGTCTTGTAGAACGCCTCCTTCTCTGCTTCGGTGAAAATCTGGTGCCCCTCCGCCGTGTGTGTGTCGTTCGCGTAGGTTCCGTTCAGCCAGGGATCGTGCACCGCCACGCCGATCTGCAACCAATTGGCGCTCCAGTGGAACTCGTCGTTGTGGTAGATGCGCATGGGGTAGCCCGCAATGCTGGAGTTGTGTGCGTTTTGAAACTTCATGCGCGGGCTGCGCTGACGCACCGAGTGCGTGGTCAAGTCCGGGTGGCTGCACGTGCTGCCCTCGACGCTCTCTCTCGCGGCCCCGTTGGCAGGCACAAAGGGATTGTTGCTCTCGCTGCAGTACACGTAGAAGGCGAAGGGGTCGTCGGGCCGCCATCGATCCACCCAGTGGACAATTTTCCCGACCTCCGTCCACAGATTTACGTTCGGCTCGCTCCCGGTGAAGTCAATCAGGACCTTCGCGGACAGTTCGGCCGCAGTGAAAAACTGGTACTCCGCGTCGGGGGAAAAGTAGGACGGCGGGACGAAAAAAGTTTCCAGGACCTGCTCGAACTCGTAGTAGCCAGACCAGTCCGCGGTTCGGTCGCGCCACTGGTCCTGCCAGGCCTGGTCCCATGTGTGCAGCTGGCGGCGGATCGGACCCCGCAACCAGGTACCCTTTTCCTGCCCGAAGGGCTCGGCAGAAACTGACTCGGCCGGGTTCTGGCTCACGAACTGGATCCGGTCCGCGTTCTCGTTCAAATTTACCGGGTTCATAAACACCTTGGAAACACCAAGCAGCACGTCTTTGCGCAGGCCTTCCGCGTATGCGACGTTGGGGAACATATTGTCGCTGTTCACCCAGCTCGCGCGTTTCCCGAAGGTCTCTGTGTGGCCAGGATGAAGTCCGGAGTACAGTCGCCATTTCGTGCCGCGGCCGCCAAAGAATCCGTGCAACGGCAGTTGCGTGCGCAATCCACCCTGTTTGCTGGTGCTCGAAGCGCCGACGTCGAGGCAATCCTGTCTACAGGTCAGAGTGGTCTCAACGTCCGTCCAGGCGCCGCTGCTCTTTGTGACTGTAATCTGTTGATGTTTCTTCAGCGAACTTGTCCACACGTGCCGATTGTCGTGGTACCCGGGCTCCTGCGCAAAGGTGGACCCGTCGGGGTTCACGTAGTGGCCCCCGTCGCAGTCCCGCTTGCCCTTGCAAATCCCCCCCGCGATTTCGTGCGCTTGACACAACCTCCTCCCATCCATTGCACACATACGCGCAGCGTCGTGAAAGGACACTTTGTGGTTGCCGGGCGTGTAGCAATCCTTCGGCGTTAGTTTTTGCCAAGTGTTTTCAAAAGGCTCCGCGTTTTTGTTCACCGAATGGCAGAACTGCCCGTCTGTGTCGCAACACAAGACCGTGTAAAGCCGACCACTTTGCGCCGGATCCGCAGCTTCGTGCGGCGGCACCATGACTTGGTGGTCGGTGCCAAAATTGGGGTTGCCGTCGGTCAGTCGAGCCTTGGAGACGACAAGCGACACATTTACCGGTGATACGTGTGCCTGCATGTCGGAGGAAAGGCCTTGGCAGGAATTCTGCAACGGCACACCGCCGGACAGTGCGTGCTCCGTCACGTCCCACAGGATGGTCTTCGAAGAGGTCGTGGAAGAGCCCACCGAGACGCGTACCTCCGCGCATCCCGTGATGTCGTCGGCGTGCGGAGGCAGCAACAGCGCCTCCTGCTGGCGCTGCGTGTCCAGCACCTGAGACAGTGACTGCTGGTAGTCCGCATACGCCGCCTGGCTGTTTGAACCCGAGAAGATCTTCGGGATGCGACACTCGAAATGCGTGGAATTGAATGCCTTGTCCGCAATGACGTGACACGGAATGTCGTTTCGCGGCCCCAAAAAAATCCGTGTGGTGTCCACGTTGAAACCGGTGCCCCGAATTTGCAGCACTGCGCCGCCAGTCGGACTCGCAAAGCGCGGACTGATCTCGTAAATCTCCGGGTACATAGCCATGTCGTAACTCACTGGCGGCAAGTTGCTCGGTCTGTCATCTTCAAAACGTCGTAGGTGCTGATCGAGTGAACTTTCCTCCACCCCAATGGTGAACAGCCCAAAAGGCCGCGGTTGGTCCGACTTCGTGTTGAGAAACTGAGCATGCCCGTACCCGTCGGGGCAGTCGGCCGCTGTTTGGCAAGTGCACTGCAGGTCCGAGCACTTCGCCACGTCGTTCAGCCCATTGGGGCGGACGAAGAGGGAGAACCGGCCCCAGCCCGGCTGCAACCACCCCTGGAGGCGACACGTGAGGCCGATCTTCTCGATCACCCTGTTGTTGTTCTGCAGGTTGTAGTCGTTCGTGTTTGCGAACCGGTTCGCTAGCAGCAGCTCGTCGGCGAGGCAGGTCGAACCCCCGACCCTTGTTTCCGTCTGCGACCAGGTCTTCGCGAGGATCTGCTGTCGTCGGTAGGTGGAAGAGCGGGCTCCGTACGACAAAAAGTCGCCGACGGCCAACCCGAAATGCGACACAAATTTCACCACCGGCGTTTGCTCGTATTCGTAGCGGAACACCACCGAGGGGTCCCGGACGCGTGCGTAGGTGCCACCGCCCGCGGCGTCCGAGATGATCAGCACTTCGAGCGTGACATTCATCGGCTCGGGCACCCGCGGGGTGATGCAGATCAGCTCGGACTGCGTGCTCATGGGAAGCATCACTGGGCAGGCGTATTGTCCCAAATAGACCGTTTGCTGCGAGTAGAGGTTGATTCGGTTTGGATCTAGAAACCCGTCCCCGGTGATGCGCAGCTGCAGGCCCCCCTCGAGACTACCCCGTTTCGGGAAGAAGTCGTTGACCTTCGCAGCATGCGTGAACAGACTTGCACCAGTGCACACCGCGAAAAACAGCTGAAGAGCACGCGACAGCAAGGTTCGAACTGAACTTTTTTCGCTAGAAGTAGCGCTCCTTGTTCCGTGCGTTGGGGAGACTGAAAGAAAAGGTCGCAGTCTGCGAAGAGGACAATTCATTGCCGTCTGTTGTCGTCTTATTCTTGGCATCGTCTTACTAGAGGACGAAAACATCCCCTGTCGCTGCTCAGAAAAACAGCCCCCGGCGTTTTCTTCACCAGCATCGTTCGGCAGAGCTTGTCTTCTTGTTTGCCCTATTGCTGCGGAGCTCGTGGTGATATTTCTCGTTTCTCTACTTGCACTTTTTCTTTTTGTTCGGGCACGAGATGAGAAATAATCGTCTGGTATCACTCTGTCGTGTGTACTGCCACTGGAAGATTCGATTCTCGACAAGACAGAGGCCTGTAATTTCATCGGTGTAGTCCCACCTTTCGCGGAGGAAGGAAACCGTGCATTCGCGCAACTCCTGGCTGGCTCATCATGGCGGCCAGCAGCAGGAAACATAGGTAAAACGCGCGCTCTCGGGGCGGCCGTTGGTCGCTCCATACCCGGAGGGAAGAGGAGCGGGTTCTTCACGAAACCAAACCGCTCGTCAGAGCAATCAGAATCAAAAGTCGAGATGTTGGCCTTCTGTCTTATTTTTTCTTTTCGGTCGCTGGATTTCGCGCTCGAAGTAAAGGACGACGAACTACTGGAAGGCGTGCCTCGTCGGACAAGAAAGAGGCCGCTCTTCCATTTGTTCGACGTTGCCACCGTTCTTCCCGGGCGAAAATCCTTGATATATTGACCGCCAACAGAAGCACCAGGTTGTGGTTGCGTGGGATCTGGTGCGTCTTCTGTTTCCTCTTCCTCTCTTGAGGCTTCTGAAGTCGTACTACCGCTAGGTCGACCAGTACCCCGGAGCGACCTGCTTGCTGTTACATCCTCGTCGAGCACAAGCATTGTAGTCACGTTACGGAAAAGCTGCGAGCTTGGTTTTTCACGTTGTCGCGCTTCTCCCACCACGAAACATAGCCACGTGACGAGTCAGGACGACTTCTATGCGGAAGTGCAACTCTCGTCGTGCTCGTATTATCGCCCGTGGCCTTATAGTGTGGTAATTTCACACAAGCTTGGCTAATACGTCGTCAGCGTCAAGCGGGGATGTAAATGATGTTGATGAACACTTCTTAAGCCTTTTTCACGATGAACTAGAGTCGGCGTTTTTCAAAGATGAGCCGGCACAATATAACAGGTCCACCCTTGAATGCTGGTCGTTTTGGCCGAAAACAACTGCCGCGGCTTCTTGCACTCGTGGTCCAATGGTTTCCCGGCAAGAAGATGTCCTCGGGGCTTTTCGGCAAACTTAATAGAAACCAGTTGCGCGTCCACTGGAGCAGCCAATAGATGCCTGTGCCCGCAAAAAATAGCTTACGATCACGTCAGAGGAGCTTCATTTGAAAAAAGACTCCACCGGCAACTGATTCTGTCATAGGAAGAAAAATACTCAGTCATGCAGCAGGAGGGGCATCATTCTTTAGAGCATGTTTTGCGAGTAGAGATGCGTTTTCAAAAAAAACCAGCACAGGCACCATCAGCTCCTACATCTTCGCTTGGAAATGTAATGGAGGAAAAGTAGAAGTTGAAGTTTGGGTGCCTACCTCTCATTCACATGCTCAAGAACAAAAAAGGGGTGTGAGTGCTTTTGTGGGGGCAGCAGGGGTAATTAATGTGTTTTGAAAGTGGCTGGAAAATTAAATGGCAAGCTGATGATCAAACTATCCACGGTAGGAGTGGACAACAGACAATCAAGAAAAGATGATCGGCACAAAGAGTAGAACCGATCGACTTTAGCGTTGCTCTTTTGATTGGAGGGATAGTTGCAGCTTATATGTCCTAGACCACTCTCGCACTCGCTCAGAAAACCTTGTTTTGAAAAATGCCGTTCACTCTTTGCCACACCCTCTCCAAATCACACACATCTCACAAAAAATACTTGTGAAAAAACAGAAAATGACGTGAAAATCAAACAGATTTTTGCATGTTCGTTTTTTCTCATTGGTTTGCCTGGTGTGGGAAGATAGAAATAATCCGACTTTAGGACTCTCGCCAATTTCACGACCGAGACATGATGCTGGAACCAGAGACAGAACACGATCATTACATGCATGCTGTACCTTCAGACAACCATTCCACCAACCCGCTAAAAATCTGTTTCTGTTGGTCAAAAGAGCTCAGAATGACCGATTGATTCTGGTGTTTTTGTCAGAGTCTAAGAAAGAATGAGCAAAAAACTATAAATATCGTATCTTCTAGAAATATTTGAGAAACCATAAATTCGGTCTCATCGAATTGGGAATATTGGTCAGTAGCTGCTTGCTCATGCACAGACACCCCAGATGGCTCAGGCAACAATCAGACGATCCAACGAACGAAACTACCTAATAAAGCAAAGAGACAGAAACCAAAAAATTAACACAAACTTATTGATTCAGACGATTTAATGATCAGAAATCTTGTATATACGCTATCTTTTAGCAGGAACCTGTACAACAGAAACAAAGTAGCACATTGGCCATGTGCATTGAAATTGATTTTTCAGCACCAATAATTGATACAAAAAAGGAAAGATTGAAAAGGCGTCCTCGGTCGTCGTCGTGAGTAACAAAATTGAACTTTTTCTTTTTGTGTCCGCCACAGAGTATGTAATCGAAAGAGACTACAGAGGACCACCTTTCAATGTAAGTTTATCTTTTTAAGTTTCGACAGACCCAAATAGCAATAAAACTGCATCAACTACCAATCAAATTATCTCCATGTATATCTAGTCGCAAAAATCAATACGCAGATAGATGAAAACTGATACGAAGAGAAAACAAAGGAAAAGGATCTCGAAAAAAAAGCGCCCTGCTGTATCCACCATGAAGAGTAGCAGAGGCGAGGGCGAGTCGCTGTCATATTTGTAAAATTGTATTATGAATAAATGTCATCAATACGAGCCAATCAATACTTTCAGTTCTACAACAAAAAACGCAAAATCCATCAACTTGTTCGAAAAAGTTCCGTATCCCACAAGACAATCGATATCGAATGAACGCGGTTGCTTACGTTGAACAAACAGCGTTCCGACATTTCCGAATGAAGAGTGACTCTCGGTAAGCAAAAATGAAAAAGAGGAATCGACGCCATGAAGTAAGGCTCGCAAGCAAAGCCTTCTGATGTGCCGGACAGAAAGGCTAAAAAGTTTCTGGTCAACGTCGTCCTCGACGGCGACATAGTATACGGAATCGGCCATGGCCAAGGAACGCGAGCAGTCCGTTGCGAGGCTGTATTTCTCTTACTTAGCTTGCGGTAGGAGCGATAGTACGTAAATCGAGAAGTTGTTAGAAGCAAAACTCACAACAAGGCTGGTTCGGATTCAGATTCTTGAGGTTGTCGCGGCTTTCTGTAGTTTTCCCCATTTTGCATGGGGAACAAAACCAAACAAACCATGAAGCGGTCAACATACCACGTATCGCTTTGTCATGAGAATGATACATACTACAGCCTCGTCCAGCAGGAGAGAAAGACCACCAGCGAAGCAAGAGTATCAACATCTGGATCTCGTGCGCCACTTTCTAGCAAACCAAAGACTGGTAAACTAACCTTCCGATTCAAGATTTCCAAGAACCACGTGGCAGATTGAGATGGTACCATGAAAATAATTCCTCTAGACTCTCCAATCACTCGAGGATCCTGGAGGTGGAGGCCCGCCGCCTCCGTTGAAATGCGAGTAATCCATGCTGGGAGAGGAGGAGCACGAGGATGTGGACCTGAAGAGCAGAAAATAAAAATGCGTGGTACCAGCATTCGTACTGAAGCAAATGCGTGTGACAATAAAGTGCAGCAACGTTCCTATTTGACTCTGCAGCTTCACGACACACACCCTCTCACGGATGAACTAGTAGTAAACCATACAATAGATTCTAGATCCTCTAGTTGTTTTTCATCTCTGTATATTGTGTTGATGTGGACTTATTCATATAAGAGGCACAACTACCTCGAAAGTGGCATTGAGCTGCTCATCGGGGGTGCGAAGAGTGTTGGCGGAGCAGGGGGCGGCATTAGAATAGTCCCTGCTCCCGACGTCGTGGGCGGCGCATTTAATATTCCGCTGGACAAGGACGAGGGGTTCGAGGAGGTGGCGGCTCCAAGCAAGGTGGACAAGAGTCCATTCGCGGTGGACGACGACGAGCAAGACGATGCTACGTTCGTGGTCGGCGGGGCGGGGATGAGTTCCAAACTCTTCCACAACTCATCCAGATCCGCTGAGGTTGACGCGGACGTGTCCCCGTGGTGATGCTGCGCTTGGTGATGCTCCATCGGAGGTGCCGCACGACAGGGCGAGGAACTCGCGACGGCGCCATGCGTTGACATGCCGTCCCCAATGGCCCACTCATTCAACCAGTTTTTCCATTCCGACTCCGAGTACTGTAGTGCAATCATTTTTTAAATCGTTTTTGGACCTGGTGCTCTCTCCGGCCTTAGAGCTTACCAATCAATACTCAAAAGCGTCCAGCACTTGCTCTTATGCTCCCTCCTGTCACTACCGGCCATTCTTGGAAAAAAAAAACGATGGATGCGCAAAGATTACCTCATCGTCCTTCCCACCGCCAGGCGCCATGCAGAGATCTTTATCCGCGCTCGAATGATTGGCATTCAGGTAGTCATTACGCTTATGCAAACATCAAAAATCTGCGCTCGACGGATTCCAATCTTATGGCAACAGGCAACTTTCATTTCGCATGCCGTGATCATAGTGCTTCAGTGATGACTTCCACAGGAGTTGCGTGCATGTATGAGGATCTTCGTCTTCAAAACTTTATACTTAAGGTTTAACTCTTTAGAAATACGTCGAGCTGAAAGCACGCGATTCGACGCATACACATAGTCAGACATCCACGATGAGACACCATGACCACTATTCCCAGCACCAGAAACAGCTCCTGATAATAGTTCATCATTGCTGTACAGTCATGCCCGTGTAAGGCGAAGGCTGCATTAACGTATGTGCATTTTGAAGAGAAGTCCACGACGAGCCCATATAGACATTAATGCTGGCCTGGTGTCTCTCGTTTCTGGTTCTGCCCACAAAAACTACATAGACAGAGACAGAGTCACAGTGTGCAGCAAAAGCAATCGCGGTTTAGCCATATAAATGTAAATGGTACTACAGCGTACCAGCAAGCGCGCTCCCGATGATCGCACTGGAGTTTCCACCCATCTGTCCGAACAGGTGGTGAGACTTGCCCTTCATCAACGAGGTCAGAATATCCATGTTTTGCTGGTGTAAGCTCGAGGAAGATCCAGGTCCACCATGATTCGAGAACCCCGCACCAGGGAGTCCCACCGCTCCGGGTGCCACGCGATCGGCTGTTCCGGTGGCGCCAGGAGCTCGGGGGTTTCCAGTGCCGAAGTCCCCCTTTCCGCGATAGTTCTCACTGGTCGCGCCGTGCTCCATCATCTGATGTAACGACGGGAAGGTGCTTTTCCCACTGGCCGGGTGTGAGAATGGCCCGGGGCGATTGCCGCTCCCGAGAAATTTTCCGTACTTTCCACCTCCTCCGCGGAGCGCGGCCTGATGAGCGGCCGCCGCCGCAGCGCCGCCGGCCCCGTAGCCAGAAGTACCGTTCGCGACGTTTTTCATCTGCCATGGGGGCTGCGCTTCAATTTGTTCCCGGTTTCCCTTGCTGTTGTAATGCAGGTATCCGATTTTCCCTTCGGCCGCAAGCTGGGACCACCGCTCTTCAGGATTGTACCGCGACCTTGGTGGCGGGCCCGTTTGGTAGTAGTGCATTCCGGGACCACTCAAGTTGTGTGCCCGAGTCGCTCCCGAGGGGCCGTTACTACCGCCGCCGTTGTAATGACCGTACCCCCCGTGACCGTGGTAGGTTCCGTAGCCGTAGCCGGCGCTGTGGTTGCCGCATATGCATTGCAAAGAAAGCATCGCACTCGTTTTGCATTACTACACTTACTCAGGTGGTCTGTGCAGATTCAGGTCTGTCATGCAGCTGCACGTTAGATCATACGCAATTACTACGGCTACGATACTTCTGCACAGGATACCGTACGACCCGTGTCGATTTTGGTACCAGGTCGCCCGCGCATCTTTGGTATGCGCGCCAGATCCGCTGTTCGCGGAACCACCAGTCGCATGAGCGGAGCCGTTCTGCTGATCAACTCCAGCGGGGCCGGGGGGCTTGCACACGCCGTTAGACGAAACGGCGGCTGTCGTGCCACTGCCGCGTCCAGCAGCCCCGGCGGATTTTTTGTTGGCGCCGCTTGCCGGTCCAGCTTCGGTGCTACTTCGTTTGTTCGTTCCACCAGCTGCTGCTGCGCCAACAACTCCATCAACCTTTGCTCCTCCAGTACTATCCACCTCTCCTGCACTAGTACTAGTGCCAGGCTTCGTTGCCGTCGCTCCTGTTCCTGCACTCTCTGAGGTCGCTGTCGTGGTGCCATTATTGTTATCATCACTTGTCAACACGCTCTCCGTATTGGGGGAGGACTCCGCCGTAGTGGTTGGAGATGTTCGGCTAGCGGCGCCTGGAAGCGGCTGCAGCAGTGGCGAAGACGACGCGTTCGAAACGACGGAGGTTCCCGTTGTGTTTTTCGACCGCCGCGGGGGTGGTGGCAGGACCCCTGTGGACTGGATCAGCCTCGCGCGCTTACTCTGCGGCGATCGGGACTCCGGTGAAGCGGTTGGCCCGGCTGCAGGTGGACGCTGCACCGGGTATAGAAAGACACAAAACGTCCTATCACCTTTAATTATATATTCATGTCACTCTTCGTCTCTATATCTTTCTATGATTTTCACCCATGCCCATCATTTTCGAAAATTATAAAGATAAAGAAGAAGAACCGATTATAGAGCTGATACATGCAGGCGTTTCTTTGCTCTCAACATGCACTTGCACATGCTACATGCTCAGATCAAGAACAAAAGAATATTTGTTTTTCCTGAATCTGATAGTGATGGACTGTTTGCAGCTATTGTTTCACTTTCATACAACGGGCGGGGACTTCATCAGGTCCTCCACGGAGATATTCCCTGAAAATTAACCATCCCCATCCAATTTGTCATGCAAAACATGTAGTAAAAAGTGTGTTTGCCATGCAAAAAGTGGATGGGGATGGTTAATTTTCAGGCGATAGGAAATGAGGCCTCCTGCCCCCAGCGGAGGCGCGGTCTCACTGCTTGGCGCGAGGGCGGCGAGGGGAGCTGCGATTACAGCAGGTGCTGTAGGTTGCACAGCATTTATTTCGCCACTGCTGCTGACAGGAACAGTAGATGTCGCGGCACTTATAACCTTAGAAGGGGATGTTGTCGCGACGACTTCCTCCTCATGAACATTCTGCGCGACCAGATCATCTTCACTGCAAACACCTCCTTTTCTCGCCAGTGCACTATCAAACTCCGGCTGTCGTTCCCCATCTTCAACATCTGCTTCTCCTACACCGGGAACAGCTGCACCAACATCGTGCGTTGACAAGGAGGGTTCATTTTCCAACGGTCGGTCCTGGTCCTCAGTAGCCGCGGAGCCGGCGACGTTGCTGTCTTCAGCCCAGTGAAGTTGCTCGTCTTCACACTTGTCGTTGTGGTCTACGACTTCCACAGGTTCATCATCACAGTCACGCAAATCTTGGGCCGACCCGTTCATCATGATGCTGGTGCTGTTTTCGTCACCGATATGGCTGTGGTCTAGGCACGTCGTACTCCCCGGCCCCACAGGTCCCGCCCCGACTGTGTTGGCAATCGCTGGTGAACCAATCTGCGCTCCTCGCTCTTTGTTTTGGAAAGGAAACATCACGAATCGCTTTTGCTCTTTCTTAAACTCGCGACGCGACGAGTGGTCACGTGCTCGCTCCAAAGGACCGCAAATGCAAAAATAAAATTACAACGCATAGTCTTCCTTATCCATGAAATCAGTCGGGAAAACGATGGTTGAAGTAAGTTGCTCTCGCTTGTTCTCGAGAAGCACCGCTGGCCGCTCTGACAACCACGCGCACTTTGGGCCTATGTGTTATTGACGATACATCATCGATCAGTGAGCTAAGAAAGCGAACTAAGCTTATTCATCGCGGCTTTATTCATTACCATATGGGCATCCGCCACCTGTCATAATGAGTGGATGATTCAGTCATTCATCATCGTGAAGATTTTGTCCTTAGTTAAAGATTTATCCGCATGCTGATTATATCGATCTTCCTATTTCCATCATCTCCACAGCGATACACACGTCATTCATCAAGTACCCCACAGTTGTCGTCAAGTAGGTCTACTGCACTTTCTCTTTGGACGAAAAAAAAAAACAAAGAACAACCTTTTTTCAATTCATAGCCTCTGTGAAGTTGCAACTTCAGTTCCGATTAAGTACCTTCGGTACTCGGCGTTCCATGGATTTCCGCCCGCCCCTCAAACAGGTCATTCTTATGCTTGCAATGAAGTATCCTGTCAAAATCCGACCGAGCCCCATCGACACTTGCTACTCTCGTCTTGCTGTGTGTTCACTTTTTTCTTCAGAGCCGTTGTCTCTTTCGCGCATGCATGTGCATCTACATTCGTTTCTCATCCATAAGACTGAAAATTTAGTTTTTGTCGGTCATGCTTATGAGCAAGAAGTTCGTTGGACTCACATGCAGAACTCGCTCTGGATACCGAAGAGGTCGCTGTTGGTAGAATCCAGTTCCGGAGACGTGCCACTGGTGATGCTACTGTAAAAGTAATCGTTTCAGAAAAAATAAAAACTGTTTCAAATACCATCACGAAGATCGTCGTGACCGTGAGTTCATCAATAATGCTAGCATGTGCATGGCCGGGTGGCCGGGTTGCCGCGAAACAAAGCGGTTGCTCTAGGTGCTCTTCTGTGTCTTTATACAAGCACTTTGCGAACAGAATAAGAAAAATTGCAACGAGTATAATCAAATGCACTCTGTCTTCGCCGTTTCGCAGCTACTGGGGTCTTCGTTCACTGCAAATACCAACCCATCCACGGCCGAAGGGAAAGGGTTGCGCTTCTTACCTGGAATGCGACGAAGTATTTCGTAGAAGAAGTATATTTTCGCGCTCGAAAGTTCGCACCTAGGTATCGGCTTCTTGTTGTCCCGTTCATATCATGACAAAAATGTTCATCATGTAGTAATTGTTCCCTTTTCTTTTTCAATTTCTGCAAAGTACCGATATTACTTTCGCATGAACGAAGCATTTACTACAGCTACTGCTACACTACGTGTTATTGAATAAGTAAATCACTAAGAGTACTGGATGAGAGCTCTTCCAACATCAAGGAGTGGAGATTCTTCGAATTTGATAGCGACTCGAATGAAAAGGTTCGCTTGGCGCAAGTGCGTCCACCTCCCCGTTTTGGCTGTTGCTGAGTACCTCCACACGATGAAGACCCGTTCATCGACAAGGCTTGTCGCGATGAAGACCAAGACGCCGTAATGGAGATGTCTGCAAACAGACAACTGCCCGCACTACATCGACCAAGCGAGGCATTTGTATGCATTGCAAATATGTCTGGGTCTGGAAAGATGCAAACTTAGGATGCGGGCTCTGGAACAAGGAAAGATGATGAAAATCTGTGTTCCTGCATTAGAGTCAATAGAAAAAGAAGTGCGATTTTTGTCCTCTCCAGATGCAGACTGACTAAACGCGGCAAAGCCTCCGCAGAACATAATCTCATGCTCTGTGAGGGAAGCCAGACATTCTTCCAGATGCAGAAACGGCAGGAAAAGTGTCTACTTCCTTCCACACGCAGACATCCTTGCGGTTAATAACTTGTCGAGTCTGCCAATCTTGGCCTTTCTCGTAAGAAGTATGTCCACGTCGATCACAATTTCAGCCAGGCTCCCGTCGTTGCTTCCGAAGATCGGTCAACGAGGTCTGGGCGCCTTGGTCGCGATGTCTCTCAAAACATGGATGCTCGAGGCTTGTCGGTGCCTATGCTGCCGTTCGCCAGGCAAGCACGAAGAAGACAATAGAGAAAGACCACGGATAACGACAGGAAATGGAAAGATGACCAACCAGGATTTCCTGCGTATCTTTTCCGTTATTTCAATTGAGGAAAGCGGTGTTGGATATACTTTTACTTTGTTTCACTCGTCGTCGTCCTTAAGTTGCTCTCACTCCATAATGTACTCAAACTGGAAGAAAAGAGCGCGATAGTATTGGTTTTTGCCTAGAAGCAGCACACACAGGACTAGTCTGCAATGACACACAGACAGGCCGAGCGGGATGGAAATCAATGTTAACCGAAGTTGATGAAGGTTGCCTACGAAACATACATCAAAATATACAAAGAAAGACCGCGCTCCTGTCGGAGGTGGGAACACTCGGGTTCGGATTCGGGACGAAGCTAGCGTGCGAATTACTACGCACTGCAACTTTGACGCACACCAACGCGTATACAGGATTAGCGTGTTTGCGATCTCTGATCTTCTTGCTCTTTGTGTGAGCCAAGCCGCAAAGCCAAAGTCAGTAGTACTGTAAAAAATTAGAGTCCGAAAAGATAAACAAGTGAATGTGAAGTTTTGTTCTTCAACACTAAATTACAACGAGAGTATCTTACTAGCAGTCTTTCATGGCAAGTGAAAGGAGTCGGGCTTGCTTCTGGTTCATGCCCTTCTCAATCCACTTGTTGCACAAAATACTGACGACATTCATCTTTCTTGCGCTCCACCTTGATGTTTGTAGCTTGTTTCTGCAGTGGCTGCACTTCTTTTTCGCCTAGAAGTAGATCACTGGTCGCGGATCTTCCTGCTAGAAGAGAGAAGAAGTTCATTTTTCGGCGCGGAAGCTCGACACATCACATTCAGCCTGTCGGTGTAAAATATCTTCTGGCTCTGGCGACAATATCTAGTGACTCTTATATATTCTTTTCGAATGGTGCGGTACATAGATAGGTCTGCTTTTGATCTGGCCGTAGCTGCTGTTCTTTCCAAGCGAGTTAAAACCGGATCTCAATACACCCCGCTCGGGCTTGATCTTGTTCTTCCTCGCCTGGAAACTATCAAAAATCACGCTGCTCTCTCTGTCTCTTTAGTGACTAGGTTATATTTTCTTTATATTTTCTGAGGTTTCATCCTTTCTTATTTGTTTTTGTATTTGTTTGAAGTAGTCAAAAGGAATTTTATTAGAAGGTGTTAATGTCCTTACAACGAAACTAACGATTGATGCTTCAACATTTACTTTGCGAGTGGTATTATACGCAACACTCACAATAAGTCGAGTTAGTTTTCCAGCACTTTCTTGGTTTCCGCTTTTCGGTTGTACAGGACGTTAAAAAAGTATTCAACCTCCAACAAGCCGTCTTCTGGTAGATCGGTGCAGTGCACCGCATTCTCGATGCGGTTGCTACCAAACTTCGCCCGCAGCGTGTTCGGTCGCAAATGCGCCGCTACCTCTGGATCAATGGGACCGACTAATTTACCTGTATGTGCGAAAGCCGGGCATGAACGAAAAATGGTAAGGACCGCTTACAACTACAGGGTCTAAAAAGATAAATGTGCTTTTCCACGATTCGCCCCCCATTGAGCAGCAGACCTAGCACGAGCCAGCATGAGTTCGTTCATCCTGGTCGGGATGGTGCGAAGGAATCTAAATGGAGTCTCCATTCAGATAGATTCGGACCACCGACCACCTCCTCCACCACACGACACAGACAAAGTGCTAATGCACTTTCAGCAATGTCATGTGGAGGTGGAAGAGTAACGCTAGACACGCACCTCACAAATATTACGTCTATACAAATAATCAAGTATTCAGAAAGAAGTGAGCAGTACGGAAGCTCTCGACGGCATTTTCCTGGCGAATTTCCATGACAAGTGCGGGCCCGGACGCGAGCTCTTCGACGAGGTCGTGATACTCTGGGAGGATTCCTCGGTACACTTCCATGAACTCTTCGGCCAAATTCTTTTCAAGCGTCCACAGTTTCATCGCACTAATCTCGAAACCCTCTTCGAGTATTCGGTCGACGATGGGACCGGCGTGACCCTGAAGTTATAGTCTTCTTTTTGATAGATTACTTATACTTAGATACAGAAATTTATATAAAATGAATGCAGTTCATCTGGACAAAAAAATTCTTGTCCGCATCGCAAAGGGAAAGGCTTCTTCACACAACTCACGTAAATCACACTTCAATCATCGGAACGAAACTAGAACAGCATCGCTTGAAACTCGATCCAAGCCCTTCTCGAAGATAAGTACCGACGTGACCGCATGCGGCTTGACGATTCCTACCGTGCAGTTGTTAAAGATGGCTGTCGTGGGCAGTTTGTTCTCCTCCCCAAAAAACAAGTTCAACTCGCGCGCCGCACTGCCACTGCTATCGCTCCCGTGCGCAGCATTTCGTGTTCCGTCAGTGCCGAACCGCGCGCGGATGGATCCGGGTGCCTCTTCCCTGATGTAATTGCATCGTTTTCTGCGTACGTGCCGATCTAAGTGGTGCGATCGACAGTTCAATGATCATAAAACTACTTCATCTGTGAAGGATTTTTCTCCTTCGAGAGTACTGAATTTGAAGTTCATAAACAGGAGAGAACTGCTACTGTTCCTTAGCTGACGGATTCAACCTCAAAAACGAGAGAGATTCCATGAACTTTCTTACTGTGCTTTTTGTGTGTTTGTTGGCCCCATCAGAGACCTCCACGTGGACACTGCGTTCTTTCCGATTAACTCCATGGCTACGCAAACGTCAGACGTCATGAAGTTCACCAGGTTCTCGTAGAATGGCTTGCCTGTGCGACAAAGATTTCTATGATTTTGTTGACCACATGCAGTACCAGCATCATCGTCAGCTTTAGAAGATGAAATCACTCTGTCTTCTATACTTAATTCCAGCACATAGTAACAAGTAGGCCATACCTTTGTGTTCCGCGTACTGCTCTTCGGCAAAGCCCTTCGTCATCTTCAGCATCTGCAACTTTGATATGACTAGCCCATGCTCGTGGATGAGCTCGATTATCTTACCTGAAGGGAAAAAAGTCGAAGGTCGTGCTCCACGAACTCCTTGATACATGTTGCTGAATTTACAAACAGGATCACAAAGACTAAGACAATTCTACAGCATTGCGTGTTCTTTCACGAATCGTGTGTTACGAATGCAGCTGAAGAAGAAGCTCACCGATGTGCTGGTATGCATCTGGCTTGATGAGCGCTAGCGTTCTGGACTTCTCCGATATAGGAAGATAAACAGAGCAGACCGCACGCGTATGTCAACCATACTGCTTGTCTACTCTTTCAACGATCGTGAGTGAGACTGCACCAACGTACGTGTTGTCTCAGTGACAGTGTAAGCAAATTCGCAGTGCATGATCATAAAAAAAGCAAACGACGCGAAGAAAGGTGCGTGGCTCCGTGACTCTGGTGTACGGATTTGAGCAAGAGTACTGTACGGCACTCGTGACAATATACGAAACTCCTGGGACTGTCCTGTTTCTCTTTTCGTACGCTCTTCAAATATGTTCCGTGTAAACACGTCGCAGTAGTCCACGATTCTCATATGCCTGCTGTGGATACCTGTGCGATTTGTTTCCGTTGGGTTTTATTTTTAGAAAAATTGCTTGGGGCGTGCGCGTCGCTGATGTAAATTTTATTTCACTCATATTTTGGAACATCTTACTAGCTATAGTTTTTGGTACCCAAACGACAAGAAAAAATCAGAAAATTTATGCGAAACAGGCACTGAAAAGTCGGGCAAAGATGCTACGAAAGGCAATGACTCCAATACAGAGCGTGCTTCCGAGATAAAGTTTATCTGCTGTGACGGAGGGGCAGTGGGATCGTTTCAGGAAAAGGCGCTTGGCCTTGGTGTCGTACAGTTCGATTGTATTGTCCTTTGGGTAGAAGGTGAATTGGTAGTATCGGATCAGCGACGCCCCGCCGTCGAACCATTCCGTCTGAAAGACGTACCGCTCGTCTACCATGATGATGATTCAGATTGTTGTCAGTTACAGCTTCTCTATGTATAATAGGAATACAGCTCACTGCATAATATCCGACAACTCTGCTCGTCCATAAAAGTTGCAGATGATTTGCAGAGGTTTCTGGAGGCCGTGGTCGGCAGCAAATGCACAGCCACTTAATTATATGCCGAGAATTTTTGTATGTTAGTTTGCACCATTGTACTGTATTTCTAAAAGGTACATACAAAATCGCTCAAGGCCAGGTGTGACGACGTCGATGCGATAAAACAACTCCACAATGCTCTACGATTTTTTTCGAAAAAGAGCCAGTTGCATCTGATTTCACTCAGTATTGAAAGAAATCGCAGCCGAAGCAGTATCACGTTGCTGCAGAAATCGCTCCTACGAGGCAAGAGACACAAAACCGAACGAGAAATCAGGGGCCGAAAGGCGTTTTTGCCAGCGGCCTCGTGATCCTGATTCGCTGTTACCTATTTCAGTTATGTATGACGCCGTAAATGTGAATGTGAAAGCATTGCATTCTTGAACATGCCAACTTTCACTGCTTTTTGCACCCAACTGCAGCAGCCAGGTCTACCGTGGCTTTGATTCAGAACACTGCAGCAAAGCACGAACAAAATCAACTCCTTTCGACCCCCATCAACCCTTAAAAGCGATTGATGCGCTTAGTCCACCTCAAGGTCCTCTGGCACTTTTTCATAGCTTCCTCAAGCGGCACTTTCGATGTTGCAAAGGTACTTATCCATAGAAAAGAGCGCGGCGCCTCTTGCTGGCCAACATGTGTTCTCTGTCTGTGATATTCATATTAATTTGTGAAGGCAAATAAAGCAGCTTGGCGATTTATAGAAAAATTGCGGTGTAACACATATGAATGAAGAAAAAAAGCAACAGGCTTGGTGTAGAACAAAAGAGATCAGTGTAGTTGCTGCAAAGGGCACCAGATGCCGATGATGCTGAAGGAGATTCACTACAAGCAGAGGCAGCATGCACCATCTACGCCTACCAAAAACTCGATATTTATACGCTGGATGGGAGTAGATGTGGAGACCCTCCCTTCGATTCATCTACTGAGTATCGCATTCACAGGCGCGCGCAGGTTCACCCAACGAGGTGACCACAACGAACGGAGCCCGCCGGCCTGATGAAACTAGCGAGATTCGAAAGGATACGCGAGACCACGCCACGCAGGCACCTGTAGGTACGACGGGCAGGATCCTTTCTGCGTTGCCGGTGCTCGCCCTTTCCTTGCCTTTCCTCTCTTCGAGACAGAATGTCTCCGCAATTACAGCTCGTCATCCGATGAAGAAAGCGCACGGCTAACGGGGTCGTCACCTACTCCTGGTGGCAGCAAAGTGGTGAGCTTACTTCGCAGCCCTAGGCTCAGGTCCAGGCAAGTTTTGCTCTTGCAATGCCGCAACAAGTCCGTGATCGGCTCAACGTATACTCTTGTGAGCAAAAGCTCCCTGCTAACGTCGAGAATTCTGCGCACCCACGACCGCCACAGATCCCGCTCAGACACCTATGTTGAAGTTAGTTGATGAAGATGATGAAGATGTCTCAACAATTTTTTATATTGCGATAATTTTGCGAGAGATCATGAAAATCTAAACGTGGTATCCTCTCATACAAAATCACAAACACGAACAACGTAGAGAAGAAGAACACTACTACGTTCGGCTTCGGTGACCTCAGCCTCACTACATATAACGGGGGAACTCGCAGCTGCTACACGCAAAAAAAAGTCAGTGGCCGATTCTGGTACCTGGACCTTTCTTCTGTCTCTGCTCCAAAGTAGGTACTGTCGGGAAGCAGGAGAGGTTTCGCCGCCGATAAACTGGAGTTCGATCTCGAGGACCTTCGCCGGCATATGTGCCAGAAGCGTTGCTTGTTGACCAGCCTCGTCCCCTTGTGTCAGCGCGGTCATGACCGCTTTCCAGGCGTCGCGATCTTCGTCCGCTGTCGTCACAGATGAGGTCATCGAAGTATCCCCATGGGCATCGCTCTCCTGATCCGTTGTGCTGGTGCGGATCCGAAGCGCCAGCCAGCCGCCTGCGTCTGCGCGCGTGACCACTTCCATGCCAAACTGTTCCTGAAACCGACGGCTTTGCCCTTCTTCTGAACTGACCGCGGTTGTAGCACGTTCGTCGCTGTCGTGGAGCAGAAAGTCATGCACCGCAGGGTCTACTCCCGGCCAAAACTGGGCAGAGAATATCTCTAGCAAGGTTCCGCGCTTAGTAGAGCCGCGAGCACGCGAGACCGTGCCAGTAGGTGTTCGACCCGCAGCTCCTGCGGGCGCGGCACCAGAAGCTGGTTGACTAAGGGGATCGCCTGATTGGACCGGTTCGTGGAACCAAGCCTCCCCTGCTTTGACAGAGCCGAATAGCAAGACGTCGGCGGTGAAGCTCGCAGGTGCTCGATGCAGACCATATGTTGCAACTACAGTGTCGCTGTCCTCTCTCGACTCCAGAGGATTCCTTGCCGCGCGCTGGCCCGAAGGCGAAGGTCTTCCATCGCTTGTTCGTGTTCTCTCAAAGGGTAGCAGCCACAGCAATTTTTCCCGTTCATGGTGCGGCAACAGATCTGAATCTTCTATGTCTGTGCGGCCGCCGTGGTCCCCTCTTTGGACGCTTGATGTACTACCGGAGTATAGTCGAACGCCAGGCGCCAGACTGGTCCAATTTTGTGCAGTCAGCTTCAGGTCGAAGCTTGTGGGTGGCGAGGAAAGAACATCTTCACCTGTATGACATTGATTTACAAACCTGTGGTGAAGGAAGCTTCGACCAGACACATATTTCTCATTGCGAAGGCTCAGATGAAAAAAAAAAGTTGATGTGTATGATCACCAGGTGCAGTATAATAATCAGAGACACTTCTAATTCAATTGATATTTATAGTATTGATATCAATCGTAGCTTGCATTGCCTCGCTGTCGCTTATTTTCCTAGAGAATTACAATTTCGAGTTCCTGTGAAAGCAATGAAAAAGATGAATATATCAAATGCTTGTCATGCTCCTGCTTGCAAAGACATATAAAGAGTACCAGTGGCGGTAGAAAACGGGCTGAACGGTACTAGAACACGGCCTTGTATTAGTGCTAGCTGTGGCATGGAGCTCGTCTGGGTCAGCACCGTATCCCGCAAGCACATGGCTTCGCGGTCGAACCCTTGCCCCAGAACGGCCTCGTAGTTCTTCGATAGAGCAAAAGAAGCGCTTCTACTAGCTGTAGCGGCAGTAGCGACTATGTGGCTTGTTGAGCGAAGTGCCAGTGACGCCTCTGTGGCGCTTCGCAGCGATGGTCTGAAAGAACCTGAATTGGTTTCGTCTTCTCCATTTGCAGCTTCTCCCAAGTTTTTACCGCCACCAGTGCTAGTCGGAGCTTCTTCGTCGCGCCGCGACGCTGCATCCTCATCTGGAGACTGTGCTGCTCCTCTGCCAAGCGCTGAAGCTGGAGCAGACGGGACCGGGACGGGGGACGAAGCGGAGGTTGCAAAACTTTGCATCGTTTTCGGCCCGCCGCCGGCCCCAGCACTAGCATGCTGGCCATTCGGATTCGCCGAAGAGGATACGGGGACACTCCCTCCAACAACGGTGTTTTGCTGCAGCGCAGCCATAATGCGGGGACTGCCCAGGATGGGATTTATGCTAGCAGGGTCAATAGGCGGCTGATTTGAGGACGCGGATGCACCAGCTGCGCCACTACCGCCAGAAGACGAGCCACCAGCTGTGACAGAGCTGCTCCCGAGAGGGCTAGCAGCCGGTGCCCGACCCGTAGGTGGAGGCTCCACAATCAGCGTAGACTTTTGCTGCACGAAGAGATCCCCATTGTGCACATTGTTTGTTGATGTACCTGCCCCTGTTGGGTTGGAAGAGGGTGCAACTACGCCTCCGACGGTTGTAGACCCTGGTGCCGTGGGGCCGCCTTGAGGTTGCTGTTGACCGTGTTGTTCCAAACCTCCATTAAAACTGATGGTCGTGCCTGCTCCAACAACTGCGCCGGCACTGCCAGCGGCCTGATGCTGTGCTGGGTTTACATTATGGCTGTACAATGTGGTCCCTGGGGAGAGGTTCTTCGGAGTGATGTAGATACCGCCTCGGCTATCAACATGAATTCCGTTGGAGTGGTACGAACGCTCACGTTCGCGGTGTAAATCGTAGTAGAACTCCTCTTGTTCCCACGACGTGCCGCCGCTCCGCGAGGACGTGCCTCCCCTCGTCGTACTGACCGAACGGTAGCTCGTACTAGCAGTGTGCGAAGCAGTCCCACCGTTGCCGTTTCCCCCCGTGCTCCCTGTGCTCCCGCCGCCACCTAGGTTGCTGCTTTTCAAACCAGCAGTAGAAGAAGTTCCACTGTAGAAGGAGCCACCAGTGTGCTGGTCCGTGTAGGCGTCCGCTGAAAAGCTACTGCCCAAACCGGTCGCTGCAACCACGGGCTGGGGGCAAGCTGCACCCCCTACACTTACCGCATACAGAGATACAACCAACGAGGCCAAGGACAAGCCGAGGTTGACAAGAATCAGGAATGACAGGCAGATCAGCGCGTTCGTGAAGTCTCGCTGCTGTCGCGCAGCAGACTTTGAAGTCTGCAGCGCCGCCGCTGCAGCGGCGCCATTGCTTGGATCGACACCGGGGCCCGCAGCCCATTGCTGCTGATACTTGTTCTGGTGTTGCAAACTCGAGAAGCTACGTGCCGGAGAATACATGCGGGTCATAGTCCTGTTCCGCCCAGATGATAGAGGAATGTGGACGTCCCGAAACCGATGACCTTAGCAGCCGCAAACCAAGTAGGCTAGCGGTCGTACGTCGAGAGCAAAACTATAACAAGAGAGTGTCTTATTTCCGTCGGCGCGGAACCTGGGTTCCTACCGACGGGTTGGGTTCACCTTCTGCTGCACGCCTCGACGTCTAACAATTGAACATAGTTGGCGGCAACGAACAAGGAGGATTCATCAATCTACATTTTCATTTCGGACTTGATCATGATACTGATTACACCTGTGGTGCAAAGAATATCAATCTTCTTCTTTCCAAATGAACTGTCAAGAATATCAATCTACTGTGCCGGGTTCGAGAAAAAGAGGCTTACCCAAGGGGGGGAACGAGCGGGTGCTTTTCACTGGAACTGGGCGTCTCGTCAGCAACAAGAGTTTATACTTTCAACAGCAGTGTTATTGAAGACTCGACGATACTAGTACAATTAAAGGTGGCAAGCGATGTTTCTGGCAGCACCAGCAGCTACTATCAACACAAAAAAAAAAGGAAAAGGTGCTTAGCTCGCCTTGAAATAAATGAATGGCTCGTCTGTCGCTCTCCCGTAGGCTTTTGATATGGGCGCTTGGAGCTGCCTTGAGCTTGCTGACCGATTTTTTTTTACACCGTCCTCAAGTCTTTTTCTCTCTGGATGTGCTTCGTCCTCGCTGGCCTGATCTTTCCAGCGATAGGAGCACACTAGGCGAGCATAAAAGAAAGTAACACTCCCTCTGGTGCACGTGCAGTTGAAGTTGTAGCATTGGTGGCATTTCTACTTTTTGCCTTACGTTCTGACTTACAGTCTTTCACTTTACAGGCGCACGTTGTTGTCTTCAAAGTTCCGTCTCATTGATCTTTTTGCCTCACCGATTACAACGTACATTATTGCTGTTCTTGCCTTGCGTTTCTTACACCAACCCGTCTGCGTTAATGCCGTGCGAAACACTTGCACTCACCTAATTGCAGGCACTGAAGATGCTTTTGCTACAGAAAGCACAGGGCGGTCCCCCGCCAGACAAAGACAGCACATTTGATTTTCCACGGCCGCGGCTCATCCGTGTCCGCATCATTTGGTTCTGCTTTTCGTTTTCGGTGTGCATTGAAGATACTTACTACGAGGTCAGCATCATGTTCTTCTCGTCATCCGTTAGAGCTGCAGCTACAATACAACAAGCGGGTACATCTTTTTTTGAACATGTTAAATAATGTAAATCAGATTTACAACACCTCCTCCAAGATACGTGCATAAAGTACATCGTAGCTTTGCATTTTGGGAATGCTTATGATGGACCACGACCAGCCCGAGGTGTACGACCTGACCAACAAGGGGTGGCCAATAAAATGGTCCCCTGGTGAATGTTTGCTCGTGCACGACGAGCGAAAAGACAAAACTATCACCAATTCTGATTGAGGTCGTCTTTGATAGTTGCTGCTCCTCGCAGCGCCTTGAAGATGTCACCGTATACGACAGATGATCTTCACCTCACTTATCAAAGGCGGCGTAGAGCTCGAGGGAAGTTGAAAATATCATTGACGAAAGAGTGTTTCACGAAGATAAAAGTGCAGCATGCACAGTAGCGCAATACAGAGCAGACCATGATTATGTCATGCAACCATAACACGTGTTGCGCCTTACTAGCTTCGCCGTCTTCCTTCCTAACCTTGATATACCTACGCATCTGGTTAGGAAAATGAAAAAGATAGAATCCACATCCAGAAACGCTCACTAGGACGAGCGATCTGGATCTGGCATATAGCGTTACAAGAATCTTCAGTTTGTTCACTTCACGTAGTACAACGCACATTATGGAAACGATGTGAAGCGATGTAGTACTACCAGCCAACTTTTTGTAAATTTTCTTTCTTCAAAAACTCTATTGTCTTTTTCTTGCGCAACTTGCAGCTGCTGTTAGTAGACTTGTCTTTTAGATTTAGTGGAATTGGGACTTTGGCTGTGTGTGACAACAGCTAAGACGACAGAGCCATTTTGGGAATTCACTACACTGATACAATTTCTTCGTCCAAAGCGGCCCGCGCGTTGCTGCTCTAGAAAGACCACGGAGGAGCCGGTCCTTACGTGGCAGAAAAGGTGAAGCCCCCAGGTGCGCCGATAGTCGGCATGTTTGCCGGCGTCTGCAGTTGCACGCCAGAAAAGCTCGTGCTTCCGCTGCCGCCACTGGAAACCGAGGACCGATGACCGCTGCCGCCAGTCGGCGCCGCGCTAGAGGGTGGCGGCGGTATGCCCAATCCAGCTCCCAAGCTTGGAACGTTCAATTGCACTCCTGCACGAAGCTGCACGTATTTATTTTTGCATAGGGATGATACGCAGACAAAAGGAGAAACTGTGGCACCATCAACAGAGCAATCATAGTAAGGCAGTGACAGATTTCTCCGCAAGATCTAGCAGTTTTCCAGATCGTCCAAGTTGCCGAACAAATGTAATTCAGAAGTTAATTCACTGAAAGTCTAAAAAATCTCTGGTCGTGTAACTGGAATCGCAAAAAATAAAAGTCTTCTACCACTCCATTATTCTTGGGTAGTGCCCGCAGCAGGCCTCCCTTCTGGTTAAGATACACCTTGTATGATAGTGGACAACTCCCCCGCCCGAGGGTTTGAACTTGAAGGGCATGAGCAGCGCCGGAACAAGCACACGGACGCCCTCTGAAGATGACACTAAAGTTTGTTGTATTCACAAAGATTTGTGAGTACTTATAGTGCTAGTCGGGCTTCCGAAACTGGTGGTCATGCACATGGACATGAAGAAGCAGGACACGAGTTGGCATTTTGCATCGGAAATGACAAAGAGGGAATGTTGAAGTTGTCCACCATCATACTTCCAGCTCCTGGACCATATCGGCGTTGTATCCCCGGTGAGGCATGATGGGGAAGCCCGACTCTATGTCCACCGTGTCATGGTCCGGCGGGTGTGCAAAATAATGCTCGAACGCCTGCTTGAGTAAATTGACGGGGGACTCCTGGTGACTCGCCTGCAAGCTCCGAAGAAACTCACCCTTGTCGCAAGGCCGAATTACCGCGTTAAAGGTAGACCCAATATCGACGATGTAAAGGTTGCCTAATTGATATTTTCATAACATATTTGTTCAATTTGTTCATTGAGGAAATAAAACCACAACCAAAAAAATCACAAACGCCAGCGATGGGGGACAAATGACGCTGCACCGGAGCAGGGTACCATAGCACAAAAATGAATGAAAGAATATCGCGCGACCTTCACCTTGTCTATTGATTAGGATGTTATCGGCTTTTCCGTCACCCATTTTCCGCCTGTGCCGCAGGTAGAAGCGGTGGAATAGACGCGGTATTTGAAACCCGATTAGGTTCTTCATGTGCCCCATCACCTCCTGCTGTACTTCCCCAGGAGCTTTATCGAAGGCTGATACCAGGTCCCGTATGTTGATGCAGTTTTCCACAAAATTTAAGACGACGATATCATAGTACTTCGGCGCTGTATTTTGATTTTTTCGTGATGCATACTATTTTCATCTTCGCTCGCAATCTCATTTCGCGAAGCACATGAATTGGAAGTTGGCGTGTTGCCTTGCTGATGAAGATACTGATACATCACGTTGGCGCTCATCCACAGTCGTGACAACATTGACGGCCGGACGTGTTGCGCACCAGAAAAGCAAAATTCAAAGCAATGAGTTGACATGGCGACCTATTTATACCCAATGGATCCACAACCTTCTGCTCTCCCCGACTATTTCTTCCTGCTCTCTTCGAGTTAATACCAGAAAAATTGCAAGCCAAGAAAGCAAAAACGCAAGCAAGCGTCGCAAGCGTCTCAGAAAAAGGATAAGCTGCATCTAAATCTATCTGCTATGAGAGAGAAATATAATACGAAGAGCACACTCATGCAAGCTTCTGGGACACGTCTGTCAAGACTGGTGACTAGTTCCCTCTGTAATAATGACAAAACGCGCTCGCTGGTGGACGCAGAATAGACGCATTTCCATTCGTAGTGCGCGCGATGGCCGAGCCGGAACCTTACGTTAGCATTAGCTTGTGACGATGCGACGTGCCGTTTTTGGCCTGGGCAACCGTGTTGATTTTGCGAGGATAGAGCTACTGCTTGTGCTCGAATTCGTCTGCTCGATAACTCCGCGATAGGAGGCGATTGGGAAGCAGACATTTGCGTCGCTCGGCAGCTCAGGGCAGCACAGGCGAAGATATTCTGTCTCTACCGCTTCGCCTTGTGAGGCGCCGGGCATCTCCTGTCGCACGGCGATTACTTTCACCAAGAGTTTCCCCTGGGCTCCCATTCCGGTCATAATAAACTCGTGGTTCAGCCCGCCACCCGCAAACTTCTTGATATCCTGCGTACTGATGGACGACGAGGAGGAGCCTCCTCCACCACCTGCATATTGTGATAAAATTATCTTTCTCCTGATCTCACGGGATTCCGATTGCGCCCTCACACGGGACCGCTCGTCCCTCTTTTCAAAAGATGAGATGAACATGAACAGATGAAGTACTACACAAGAACTCCCGGAAGAGCGTGGATGAGCATTTTTCTCCTGGTGGGACCTGTTATACCTGTACCTCAATACATCATGTTTCTTCGTAGCTTTAGATTTAGTCGACAAACGGACGCCAAGGCAATCAAAATCATCGTAAAACCATTTTTGGTACTGCTTCTGCCGGTGCGCTGGAAGATTTTGTCGAGTGTTTCCTGAGGAAAGACCTCTCTGAGCTCCTGCGCAAAGTCGGTGAAGTCGCGCCGCAGGGGGCGGTTGATTGCAACTCTCTTGACGCGATCGATGATCGCCTGGTCCACAGTCTCGATGCGTCCCAAGTTTTGGTTGTTGATCCACCCGTCTAGCGTGTTCAGGTTGGGCCCTCGTGCCGAGTTAATGATCATTGGGATGCTACTATCGGAGGAGCCCGCGCTTGAGGCTCCCGAGCCATGCACCCGCTCTCCGGGCCCGCCGGACGTGCCACCGCCAACGAGATCCAGTGCACCGGTGAGGGACGCCCCATTTAGACTGAGGCCGTTAGGCATGCTCAAGCCGGGGAGGTTGAAAATGGACTTCTCTGGCATTGCACTGGCCACGCTGGCAGGAGCCTGTGGAGGGACCGTCACACCACTGGCGCCGGCTGCTGCGCCCGCGGAAGACGAGGACGCAGGCGTTGCTTGATCATACGAAGCGTAGCTTGAGGAGCTCGCAGGGAGCTGATCTCCTGGCAACGGTAGACTTGACGATGAGTAGAAGTTCTGCTGCGCGAAAGACGCTCCCGCGCCGGATGACGCTCTGCTTGCGTTTCCCCCGAAATGTTGTGGAACCTTTTTGATGTCACCAATCTTTAAAAAAAAAACTGATGGGATGAAACCTCAAACACAGTTAGGAACAACTACGAACAGACGCACTACATACTCGCGGAAGTTCTAGCTTTGTCTGCTATGGCCAATCTCAAGTTCAATAGGCTTATAGCTCAGGAAGAGACAAATACAAAGCTCTACTGCCACCTCTAGGTGAGCGTGAGGCCTTGTATCTAATCCTATGCTTTTTGCGCGAGGAGGTGGGCATGCCTACTGCAACATACACCGCGGCCATTAACAGCATCTTCGCAACCAAGCTACTTTGGTTTGGATGTTGATTTAGATTTCGATCCATACGCAAAAAAAGGTAGAAAGATCTATACTCACAGTTACAGATGCTTCTTACTGAGCCAGAAGGGGCGACGACCACGCCAGCACCGGATGGTAGGATTGTCTGCTCGAATTCGGCTGGTGTCGAACCTGCTGCTCCTCCGCCGTCTCCGCTGGTCGCAGCGCGCAGCTCTCGCCTGCGTTCTCGTTCACGCGCCGCGGCGGCCGAAGCGCTCGGGGAGCCCCCTTCCATCCCAATAGTTACATCCATGCCGGGAAACATGTTTGTCGTAGGGTGTCCAGGAAGCCTGAGAGATCAAAGAAGAGGTATCTTCCAAACAGGAGTGTAGATAATTCATTAGAAATGAGTCTCACTGTGAGCAAAAATAATCCGCGAGGAAGATGTCAGTGTACATATAAGCATAGCTCTAAACCATAACCAACTGCCGTGCTGAAGTTGATCGAGCATTACGCATCGTGCTGGCTCGTCCAGCTGTACGCAACATTGCCATCAAATATCAGATCTTTGCCTGTTTCAAAACTACCTGCGTCTCACAGGGAGGTGGGTCCAAGTGCGGTGACTACTGCAGCACGAAAAAAAAACACATGGAGGGCGAAGGATACATCACTATCACGACTCGGACTCGACTGAGAGGAACAGGAACAACATCAAGAACTCAATTCGAATACAACTTCTGAGTGATAGATTTCCTTCATGATTACTCTTGCAGACCTTGTCTTTTGATTCTGATTCGAGTAGACATACGTGTCACCACAGCAACGATCCAGGTAAGATATTATGGTGAACTATCTCAAGGTGCACGAAAAAAGACCACGGACGCGACGGATAGAATCCTTCGCCAGTGCGAAAAAATGGGATGAAGATGAACCCTACTATTAAATCATGCTATTTGTAGTAGCTCAACGGCGACGAGTTGTACAGCAAACGCAAAATGAAAGCAGAACATATAGATAGGTACCTTGTATGCTCAACGCCTCCCAGCATGTTGGTTTCGAATCCAACAGCCTCATGCTCCTGGTCCGGTTTTGTCTGGAACGTGTTCACGGGCTCGGGAAGCCGGTCCATATAATCGCCGTACGTATCCGGATCGGCCCCCAGATCGACCATCAACCGATGAGGGGCTCGGACTCCGGATCGGGAACTCGGAGGAGCGCTGTTGTTGACCACCAGACAGGACAATACATTCATAAAGCAGAACTGAGTTGTTGTACACGCAGCGCGAGCGATGCCAGCGAGTGGCGTCTTTTTCATCTACACGTATCTATCAGAACCACTGCTGGAACCAAGAAGAGGACCACGTGGTCATATTTCAACATTGACAAAAAAATTATTTATGTATGACGTTCACTGTCCCTCTGACACACACAAAGAACAACACAGATCAGTAGAAGGACGAGCACATCAAATGCCAAGTATTCAGCACTAGAAAATCCGTACGCCTCGCCCTCTGGCCTCTTCGTGATCTCGCGGGGCGGTCCCAGCGTGTAGTCCGGTGTCTTTTTGTTGCTGCTACCCCGTTTAGCCCCGTGGTTGGTGCCGGTACCAGTTCGGTACGTGGCGAGCGTGTCCGGCGATCCGCCGAACCTTACCGCTGCATTGGGCGAGCCCCGCTGCAAATGCGGACTGTATTGACTTGCGCTGCTGGTTGCAGACGAACCCTGATTGAAGATGATTTCAAATACAAATTCTTCTAAACAAGCTATAGCGACGTATCAGCACACGTAATCCTCGTCTATCAGTAAAATACGGACGTCGAGTAATTAATTGTGTGATAAAAACTGTTCAAGCTGAAACCTTCCATGCCTAATTCAGAATTATGCGTTTGCGCGTGCCACTCGCACACATCCAAATTCACGCAAGTAAAACACTTTGCGTCCTTTTCGGTGGTGAATAACATTCTACAGCAGCGTATCCTGGACGACATGTATACTTTCTTCATTTCAACTGGTGTACATCGAAAATGATTCCACCACGATGATGCATTTCTGTTGAACTCAGTACTTAAAAAACTACTTCATCAGGTATTGGTGTAGCAAGTTGTAGCTCTACGTACTTGCTTCATCGCAGGTAAAACATCCTTTATGACTGCTAAACACCGCAACCGCAAACACGATTATGTCCATCATGTAGTCATACCATAGCTGAAGGCTGCAATGCTTGTGGCGCTGGGTTAAATGACGTTTTGTTATTCGTTGATGAAACCGACCCTCCTCCCGCGCTGAAGCCCATCAGCGGCGGAGCACCGCTTCCCGAAGCATTCACCATTGTCTTCGACGCGACCGCTGGGCTGTTGCTGCTCTTTATCGCGGATGAGGTAGTAAACAAGCCGGATCCGGCGCCTTGGTCGCCGGGAGAGGACGACGTGAAGGAACTCCGACCACCACCACCAGGCTGGCGCTGCGCTTGCAATATTGGCGACGTCAGCGAAGATGTGTGCGATGAGGCAGCGATGTTGCTCGTAGAAGTTGCACTTCCTTGGTGCTGGAGATACGAGATCGGAGATCCAGTCGACGACGCCGAGGGCGCTAGGATGTTGCCTCCTGGCTGAAGCTGCTGATGCGCGCCTCGCTGACTGCCTGCAGTCGAGGAGATGCTGGAAGTAGTTGTCGCTGCAGCAGGAGGCGGTGGCGACCCGAAGCCCGTGTAAACGCGGAGGTTATTGCTGTCGGGTCCGTGAAACCACGGCTGTAGCCGGAACTGGCCACTGGGCCCAGCGGGAGGTTGCTGCGGTTGTCGGTTCGTATTAGTACCACTGCTACTGTAGTAGGAACTGTTCATATGTTTTCCACGGCTCTCCTGCGGAGATGAAACGGGCGACGTCTGAAGGTGAAGGTATCTGCTCTTTTTTGTCACCTGTTCAACGCCGCTACCCGACGGCCCCGCGAGGCGCATCTGGAGTTGGAGTTGGTACTGGTGCCCAGCACAGGGGCACTTGTACGTATGTTGACTTCCAAAGCCGAAGAACGCAATGGCGGGGAGCAGAAAATGCTTACGTCTAGCAAGAACGGCACCAACCTTCTCCGTCGTTCGCGTCGTCGGTGCCGAAAGTTGTAGTGGGCGGTTCTGTCCGTTACTAAAAGTGCGATCCTAATCGCAGCCGCCACTGTTGACGCATTTCCGGCTTAGCAACAAAGCGAGAACAAAAGCCTCGATCTCCTCGTGTTTTGTCACCATTTACACCGACCCAGGAGCGCTACACGCCTCATATTTTTCACTTGTCATTCATCTTATGGGAGAATCTGAGAACCATTTGTTCACAGCTACGGCAACCTCAAGGACCTAATCACTACATACTTCCGACATGCTTATCCATGTCCAAACTACAAAATTTCTTTGTGACGATACTTGGTCCGCGACCAGAAAGTCCAACTTGCAGCACCCAGCTCAACATCTACTTCAACTTCATAGCCGCGAAACATACTATCTCGACGACGACGACGACAACGACAATGTCCAAAAATTTCGTCCTCTGTTTGCTCGAGTTTACTGCTGTGAAGGCAAAGAAATGATCATAAATAAACAAATTCGCTCATTCGATCATCTTGTTGCTTCGCCTCGGTCACAACGTCCGTTAGGAAGGATATCAATAACCACAAGATGCGGATGTAGTACATGCACATTTCAACTCTAGCAGGAAAGATCTGCACCCGCTGCTGCTCTACAACCTTCGCATCAACGACCAATACTCACGAACATTGGATTTCCGCCCGCTTCCGCGATCAATGTCACCAGCATTATTGAATTATAACAGAGGTATCGTTTTCTGTTGGATGTCGCTCCTTGGCGATCGTCGTTTGATGGTTCGTCTGCTACTAGGTAGGAAAAGCCGTCCTCTGCTGGTGGTGGCGAGGGCGGCCACGCAGGGGCATGAAGTTTTTTGATGCATGAAAGCGTTGGCTTTGGGAAAAATAAAATAAATACAACTGCCAGATCAGTTTTGCTTCTTTGCCATGGAGTCAAGAACTTCCTTCAAGCCACCAGGCTGGAAGCCGCGAAACTGCTGAATCTCCTTCCCATCCTTGTACACTTTGAACGTTGGCATCGACTTGATGTCCGCTCGGAAAGCTACTTCTTTGGCCTGATCAACATCAACTTTTGCAAACTTCCACCCCTTCTCGTCATATTCTTCTGACAACTTCCCGTAAGGAACTGCGCACATTCGACAGGGTGGACACCACGTGGCGTAAAAGTCTACGACAACCTGGATGCGTTGTATTTGAGTGCAAACTAAAACTTCTATCTTTTTGTTTTTCATTTTCAATGAAATATGAATATGATCATGGACACACCCTCTCCGTGCACGTGCTGCGAAGTACCACATTCTCTTCCAAAAAGAGCACATCATGACCTACGTTAATTCATGAAAAAGTTTCATCTTCGTAGTACCTGGTTGTTTTCCTTCAGGAATGCGCTCCACTGGCCGACGCTCTCGATGCTTGTTATCTTATGGTTTTCGTACACTGGGAACGGCCCTCTATTCGTGATACGACTCATCACCTGCGACACCAGAGATATGCAATACGAGAATCGCGCCCCCGCCGTCCCTACATTGTTTGTTAGTCTTCCTTGCAAAAAGATATTTCGCACAACCGCACAGTCCCTGGAAGTGCGAAGTTTGTCTGTGCAACTCCGGTTGCAAATGTGTTGGTCCAGGATAAACTCTTACTCATGCGCTTCGACCCGCGTGTATGTGTAATATCTGAATTCATGATAGATTGCAGCTCTTGTTTTCCAGGACCACAAGCACAACACGACAAGAAAATCATTCCTAAAATGCAAAATTTGAACAATGAAAAATGAAAATTTGAAGCCGGCGGGGGCGACGCGTAGCTGTATTGCATAACGATCCAGCCCAAGATTAGCAAATACCACTTATATTCGGACATAAAGTCCAACACCATGAAAAGGACGTCCATCATTCTGTCGCGCTGCGGTCGTTAGAGCCAAGATGAACGGGTTCTACGCTGTGACACTGGCACTGCAGCAGCTGGGAGATAGCCACTATTCACCTTTGGCTTTGCCGCGGCGCGTCCAGCTCCTGAGCTGTTATTGCACTGCGCAAGCACAAGGTACTTCAAGTATTGATTCTACTTCTTGTCGATAAAACAAAAACACCGACCCACCGCTGGTACAACCCATGTACTTAAATATACTGTTGCTTTTAAATCTTATGTGCGGGGAAACCTTCGTAATCTGTATCTCCGCTTTGGTCCCTACCACGACACCAGCGATGGCCTGTTCTACTGGTCTAGGGGGGCTAGGCCATGACGCTTGCAATTTGCAACAACAATTTGTGTACGTCTGAAACACCAATGTGCTTTTTAAGGTGACCTTGTTCTAGATCTTCTGATCAGTGTTGTCTTTCGTGAACTTACACTCGAATCTCGAGGCTGACGCTGTTGTTCACACGAAGTGAATGCGGGGAGAAGAACAGGACTTCAGGTGCGTGAAGGAGATACTTCACGCAGTCGAAGGCTCATTCAGTTTTTGTGATTCTTTGTTCGAAACTCTTTAACAGAGTGCTACTCAATAATAGTGGCTTGAGCCACGATAGTCACACGGGTTCATTGGGAAGGAGTTGATGTTGATGTTGATTGAAACAGAGAAAACACTCAAAGAAGCAAACAACGATTTGTATTGCATTTCTCTCGAGCAGATAAAAGTTTACATGAAGAAAAGCTTCCGAGTTTTGATTCTCATAAAACAATTGTCCGACTTTTATCTCTCGATCACTCGAACTTCGATTTCAGTTCTCTCCCGACAACACTGATTTGAAGATGCTATAACACATATTCACAGTGGCCGGGGGGCGGTGAGAAAAGAAAAAGAAGACGAGTGATCCTCCATCCTTCCTGCTCCACGTATTTCCAATCGTGACTGCTTTCCACCAGTGAAACTGAGTTCCAGCTAAATCGTTATCGTCACGAAGAAAAGTTGCGTCAACTCTCGCTGATCGCCGGATTGAAACAGGTTTCGCGCTTCGTTCCTTTCCACAGGTAACCTTAGTGAACGACGGAACCAAACACCCGCTTCGGTTAGAGGTAGGTCCTTTGTAGTTCAAAATCCCAAAATTTCTGGAAAGGCAAAATCGCAAAAGACGCGCACCGGGGACAGAAAATCCTGGCACGGTTGCAAAAGAAGTTCTCGGTCAAAAAGAAGACAAACAGGTAGTCGTGCATTTTCTGGATCCTGTCGTCAGAGAAAACGAAACTGATTTCCGGTCCGCGTGGTAGAGAAAGTTGTCTGAAAAGCGCGGGACTCGGTATTCCAAATGCGTAGCTCGAAACGTTCTTGATCGTACACCACCGTAGACAAAACTGCTGATTGATATTTGCGGCGGACGAGAAACAGCGGGTCGTTCATTTTTCGTGAGAAATAAAATTTTCATCATACACGTTGTTCAAAATCTTCGATCGTTAGATTTCAGTTTCACTTGGTTTCAACGGCTTTTCCCAGCGGTAGGTACGCTGGAAAACGTACATTTGTCCCAGCGGCATCTGCAGAGAACCGGCAAGCAGCGCGAGGAACTCCTGGAGCTTGTGACCCTTGGGGACTTTGGTCAAACAGTCTCCCGGATTCGAAAAATCCGTCACACTTCCAAGTTCCCAACTGCTTCGGAAGTACCAGTCCTTGCACTTTGCAAGCGGCTTAAAAACTTCCGCGTCGGAGTTGCTGATCACCGACTTGGACATAATCCTGCTGATCGCGCTTTTGGAATCAGACAGGATGCAACTCTCCACCTCGAGCTGCCATCGTTGGTACTTCTGCAGGATCATCTCCAACACGGGGATACATTCCGCAAGGACTTCCAACTCCGCGGAGTACGAACTTCCCTTGACGCCGGAACAGAAAATCGTGTCACTACCGAGGTAGGAGCAACGAATGTGAAACAACTCGAGAGCATCGCACTCTTTGAGTGTCATAACGCGTCTCGCCTGTTTCTGTTTCTTCAGGTACTTCTGGAAGTCGTCTTTCGACACGGAGACCACAACGAAGCCTAGTACTGGTCGCATTCGAAGTGCGCTGGCTGCGGTCGAGTCGTTCTCGTTAGTCGGGATGGCCAGAGCAGAGAAACGTTTTCGCTCACGGCGCGCCGTTTCCGACTTCTGGGAGACAACTTGTGCTTCTTCAAACGTGAACTGGGAAATTCCACCGGACTTGAAGTCAGCAGCAGCACTTCGGCGAAGGTCAATTTCGCCAGGTGCGTACACTTCCACGCCCTGGAAATCACGCACTGCGTCCAACACGTCCTCACAGGCTTGTGCCTCCTCAACGGCGGAAGGAAACTGATAGCTGGCATCCGGGAACATGACGATCATCTCGTCAGTGTAGGACAAGTCGAACTTGACTCCGGACGTTTGCTGCTTCAGTCGCGAAACGATAGACCCGTGGGCTTCAAGCCACCGACGGTCCTTCAATTCGTCCTTTCCCAGCGCAAGAGCACGAGTGGGGAACTTCGCTTCGATATGGCGACGGCACAGAAACAATAGGGAGCCGCGAATGGCCTTCAGCTTGGACACCTCCTTCTCGTCCAGCACTTGTTTCTCATCGCCATCGAACTTCACATCGGCCGCATCCAACTCGGCGATCTTGTGGCTCATGTTGGTGTCGATGCAGTTGCCGTCTTCGTCGTATTTGATGTAGATGCCCGTATATATCAACCCATCTCGTGCGTCAGACCACGCTTCGAGTTGAAAACGGTCTTTCATCTGTCGCGAGAAGTCTGCGAAGTCCTCCTCACTGCCGGCGAAGAGGAGATCATCGACGTGCAAGCACGCCTTCGAGTGACCTTTCACGAAGCAGCATGGTGATTCTGGCGTGGACCGATACCCGATGGATTCGAGGAACTGGCTGATGGTTCGAAACCAAAGCAAAGCCGCTTCCCGTAATCCGTATAAACTGATGTTCATACAGATTATAGTCGACTTGTCAATCCCAAAATTGGATTTTAGCGCTGTCAACACATCGTTTTGCACGATGTTCGCCGGGAAGGTGAACTTCGGACGGTTCTCCAGTCGAAACCTCAGGTTGCGTAAAAACGCCCGCGGAACGTCGCCGCTTTTCACCACGCGTCGTCCGCGAACATGACGGAGCGAGTTCAAAATCAGGTTGATATCATACTCGCCCACCGTAGGACTTTCTGCTGTCGCTGAAACTGAACTGCGGTGTCCGCCGGGTACGACCCGAATAGCGACCTTAAAGTGGAACGGTGTAACCAACTTTAAGTCACATATTGCTCTGCCGGGAAGTACGCGCTCGGAGGAGCACAGCATGCCGGGACGATAGATCTCGACTAGCCCGTCGTCAAACATGCTTTTCCACTCTTTCAGATGCGCGGCGACAAGAAGCTTCGGGATGTTGAGACCAGTAGGCGACTCGACAAACGAGTGATCGCAATCCGGCCACTTCATGGCGGCTACCAGTTTCTTCACGACCTCGATGTGCTTTGCAACTTTCGGGTCGAATATGGAAATTAGTCCAAGCTCCTCGTAGCTCTTCAGCGGCAACAGCTTCCAGTAGACCAGACGCAACACTTTTCCTTTTCCATGCTTTTCCCATTCTTCCTTGCTGTGCACGAAGCGCACTGTGTTCTTGTTCCACACCAGAAGGTGATCCGACTGCAGCTGGGGGTGTGACAAACCCGCACGAGCTTCCTCAGGAAGATATTCGTCCAGCAGCTCAATGGATTTCGGAACAATTTTCACGCCGTCGCACGAAGGAAAAAGTGCGTGCTCGAGAAGGCCGCACAACAGGTCTTCTTCTTTTACAACGCCCGCAGGGGTCCGCGACATTAGCTTGTCGAGGGCGCGTCGGTTCGGTCGACTTGGCAGCTTCATGAATTCGTGCATCTCTTTGAATTCAGCCGGGATTTCTTCAGGCTCGCTGTCTCCTGGTTCTCCCGGTTCGTCATCGACCAAACGTTTCCACTCGGTATTCCTTTCCAACCGAGTTTCCAGATTTGCGTGGACAAATTCTGTGATATCTTCAAACAGCGGGTCGTCGACCGAGGAAGCAGCAGCAGCGCCAATCTGCTCATTTGGATCCTCCACAGCCTCCTTCTCATCGTCGGAAAGCTGGATGTCGTCGTCCTTGTTGATGTTGATATCTCCGATGTCGTCTTTCAGAAATTCGAATTCAAGATCCTCATCCTCCAGCTGAAGACCATCAGCAGCTACTTGTTTTTGCTTTTTCGAATTTTCTTTGACGTCTTCGGTCCCCGCCCGGGGGGCTAAAACAAAGAAAGGCGAACCCCCGTCATGGGTAGCTACCCTTGCGGGCTGCATTAACTCAGACTCGTACTCTTTACGGTCAGCAAGGTATTGTTGTTGTGCCTCGTGGAGTTTTCCACCCTTCTTGTAGTCCAGCTCGGAAACAGGCTGCAAATTGAACGGAATGCCCAATAGACGATCGAAATCGACGATAGGAGAGAGAAGATTGGGACTCACGCGGCTAATTCCTCGCTTTCCCTGCACCACGAAGGTAAAACCGGCTGCACCTTTGTTCATCTCCTTGCCGATTATGCGCACCACGGTGTCGGTTTTCGACTTAGGTTCGTACTTATTTACCAGCTCGCCGATTTCAAAATCGCTGTCGTTCTCCAACCGAATTCTAGCCCGGCAGTTAGCCAAAATCTTCTCGACAGCGTCGATAAAAGACTTTTCAGTGACCATCTGCAGCGTTTCGGACCAGATCCTGGCACGAGCTTGATGTAGGCGGTGCATGTTGTACTCGGTGGCATTGGCGTCCAGGGACGACGCCGCTTCGTCGTCTGGGTGGACCACCATGTCAACTGCACTTTCCTCTACGCCCCAGAATTCCATTGCAAAAGTCCTCCCCTTCTTCGCCACGCAAGGGAGATTGCTCAGGACTTCATGGATTTCCGACAGGAGAATTTCTAGTGGCATTCGCGCGAACGCCGGGATGCGCCGGAGACGTTTATGAAGACTTTTCATCGTCAAAAATCTTCTCTCCAGCTGGTAGACCGGGGCGCCGGTGGGGAGAATGCAGATTTCTCGCCCAGTTTTCACCAAACTCACCCAGTCTTCCATCCCTAGATTTTCTCCGCCTGCGTCAGCGTAGATCTTTCTCCTCACCAGTTTGTGTTGCAAGAAGAAATAAATCGCCCGCATCACGTCGTCTTGTGATGGAGACCCGCGACCTTGTAACAAACGCTGACCAAGACCCTGGTGGAGCTGCATCATGATGCCCTTCGTGAGGTCGTCCTTTTCCTCATCCGTGAACGACATCCCCTGCATCATTCTGCTCAACTTCCATTTTGTGCCGGCAACAAATGAGCCACTACGACGATCAGGCAAACTGAGAATGCCGATTACAGCGTAAATGACATCATTTTCGGTAATGAAAGTAGTGTCCAGCAAACTCACACCACCACTCATCGCCGCCGCGCACGGGTCAAAAGCCTGCAAAGACTTATTGCGCTTTTTCAGCCCGTAGTGAAGTCCCGCCATGGAATCCCGTCGTACGAGACGAACGAGTTCGAGCAGAGTCTCCTCCGGTATTTTCTTCAACCGGCCCCGACACTGCTCCAGGCAGTCCTTCTCGCTTACTATTTTCCCCGAGTGCACCAACACCTCCTGCACTGCTCGCAGCTTCCGTCGCGTCTCTTCCGGAACTAGCTGGCACGGAGAAATAGTAGCGTCTACTCGTAGGCGCTCCTCAGGACTGTATCGGATTGCATGTCCGGTGGGCAACAGGGTAAGGTCGTGGACAAACAGCTCTTTCGCGGCGCTACCATGGTAAACCAGGTTTGCCGATCCGGCTGATTTCAAACGCTCCCCAATCGCCACTGCCATGCCAGTCCCGGCGTCGTCGATCAGAATTAACTTTTTCTGATGATCCTCACGCATGTCCTTCACGAGTCTCGAGATAAACTTCTTCGGAATCGCATCAATCATTTCGTCAGAAAAGCCAGTCATGGTTCGCTTCGAGTCCATGTTGGTCTGCAGATGCGGTTTTCCCTGAAGTAGCTCTTGTATCTCCTCCTCTTCCTGCACTCGCACGCGGCGACCGAAGAGTTTCATCGTGGGCGGCAAATCATTGATGTCGCGACAGGTATAGATGCGCACCTTGTCAAGATGCCCTGGTACTTTCAAGCGGTGACTGGGATTTTCATCTCCCTGCTTTTCCCGATGGTACCCGGATTTTAGCAGACCTTTTCCGATCTCGCCGCACTGCATCTTGCCGCGAACAATCTTTGCCCGCTCGTGGGAATCCGACGACAAACGCCCGCGCAGCTTGAAAGCACGCGTCCTTTCGGCTATTGTTTGTTGGTTTGCAGCGTCGTCAGCTATGTGATAATAGTAGTCAATCGAGACGTAGCGACGATGACCATCAACAGGTAGTTCCTCCCACGCGTTGTTGGTTTTCGCCCAGCTGTTCACCACATCTGGTAGTAGCCGCTTTTGATTTTGTACATCAACTACTCGGCGCAGACGAATCCTATCTTTGAGGAACTCCGGGGTGGGTGGCAACTTTTCGATGTCGTAGTCAAGCACGCGCAGTACCGCGTAACTTCCAACATCCCCGCTGCGTTTCAGCGACTCCTCGCTTACTTCCCAGTACGCCTCTTCCTGAAATTCTTCAAATTCTTGTCGAGCGTACCACTGGTTTCGCGGAGCAGCACTGGAGCTTGAGCCTCCTCCGTGCTGAGTAGGACCAGCAGTTTCACAACCGCCACACAGTCCTTGCTCGACGATATCAACCAGCACACGCGCGTGGCATTCTTCCGGGCTGCACCAGCACCCCAAATTCTTTCCGGAAAGCTCGAGCATCGCTTCGACATCTAATCCCTCTCGAGTCAGATGTTGACGATAAAGGTGGCAAACTTCCTTCCTCGTACCTGCATCACGACCTACCCGGAACGGATTTCCGTATTTGGATGGCCGACCAACGTACACGTTACGGAGCGGATCCATCGCAATCCAGCGTCGGATACTGCTCTGGTCTTTCCAGTGACATCCTTCGTTGTAGAGGTTGACCACTGTCGGCTTGGCGTACACGTCAGCTGGCGTTGGTCCGGTACTGTCGATGCATCGAAGCTTTTCTCTTTCCAGTTGCTTGGCAGCGGCAACGAACTCCTCCTCTGCCCGCGAATCGTACTCGACGACTCGATGTGCAACTTCGCCTTCTGCTGGAAAGTCTTTTGATGGAAGAGCAGCGCTTTGCTTGACAAATTTGCGATAGTCCCCGATCGTCAGATCGTCGTAATCGTACCGCAGTGGAAGTTGTCCCTTCGTCTTAATCTTAGACGAGAACACCGGACGCAGCCACTGGTCTGCTGGGACTCGCTTTTGGATTTCGCGAAGTAGTTGAAAATCGTCTCGGTTTAAGTCGAAGACGGATTTGTAGATTTGATTTTTCCCTTCAAAATCCACCACCTTCGCGCCGTTGTGCCCGCGGATCATCAGCGGAACACCGGGCTCGTTGACCGAAGTCAGAAAGCACTTGTCTCGTAGTTTCAGTCCAAGTAGGTTCGGACCCGAGTCGGTAATAGTAGCCCGCTCGAATCCGATGCAATAAAGTTCGTCATTTACATCGGTGATTTTGTAAGGTAGAACAATTCTCTTGATAATTTTTCGTTTGCTACCGCCTATTCCGGAGGCTTTATCTCCGTCAGCGGATTCTTCGGGAGTTTCAACACCGTGTTCGTTTGCACGGCGCGCACTGCTGGATCCCGTTTCTTCAGTCAAATACAAGTTCTGGCTGTACCCGTCGTCAAGCTGGACGGTATGAATTTCGGTGGTGAAGAGCACGTCCTCGACGCCGGTAGTTAGGCGAGTCGTGAAGCCCGATAACTTCATACTTTCATAAATTTTACTTGCTGTATTCTCGGAATTGCCGGTAGTGCTCGGCTTCAAAAGAGGTAGTGATGATTGTTCTTCTTCTGGAATTCGCGAAAGAAGAACTTCTGGCATCGAGAGACCCATCACCTCGTCAACCACATCGTGCACAGAGAAACTTGTTGGCTCGAGGGATGTAGAAGAGAAATTTGCACGGCTCAGTGCGGTTGACACAAAGTCAGGAAAATCAAGCTCAGCAACATCTTGTCGATCAGAAACTGGAGCCACCTCTTCCGGTTTCGGACCTAAATCCAAAGTTTCGTTTTTACTACTCGGCGAGTTTTCGTTGGGATTCCGGGCCCCTAGGCTTGGAAACCATCCTCGCACGGGAAGCAGATGTCGCTTTCCTCCTCGGTGACGAAAACTTCGCAGTTGCAAAAGCACGCGTCTTGCTCCCGCACCGGATCCTCTTCGGTCAGGATAAAACACCGCTCTTGATCCTTGTTGCTGATGCACGTCAGCATCACGGTATCTGCCTCATCGGGTCCCAGGGCCTCCAAGATCATGGCGACCTTTTCCATCTTGGATTTCCCGGCGAAGTCCTTAGCGAACAGCACCTTCGTCACCGGATCATTTTTCGGAGCTTCCTTGCAATCTTTCCGTTCATGATCTGGCGAGAAGCAGACCGAGCACACCTTGGTCTTGAACCTGCATTCTTCGGTCGTGTGTTTGCGCGATAGACACTTTCTGCACCGGGTGCTCATCTTTCCCTGCATCCTCTTGGTACGAAAGTTTCCCCGACCAGCACCGCTAGTTCCCGCGGCGCGATTGTTCGCCGCACCAGGCCAGTTTCCCCACTTCTTAACGGCGTTGTACTTGTACGGACTCTTCGGGTTGGCTTTTGCTGCCGCAACCTCTTCTTCGGTCAGGTTTTCACCGATTGCCCCCGCCTGTTCCTGCAGAGCAGCGATTTCTTCCTGCAGCGCGTGAATCTGCGGAGCGGTGCCAATTTCCTTGCTACCGTTGTTTCCCGGCTGCAAAGCTTCCAGACCTTCGCGGTAGTCCAAGTACTCCACCATGCGCTCAATGTAGGGAACGCGCGGCGTCGCGTAGACCGGATGCATCATGAACTCGATGGTGATCTTCGGATCCCAATCGTTCGTCCCGTCCTGATTGCGCATTTTCATCATCAGCTGCTCCCAAACCAGCGTACGATCTTCGGTACGGACCGGGAACAGATTTACTCCGACGTCGTTCGCGGCGTCGCAGTACCGGAGGAGCATCATTTTCAACGACTCGGTTTTCTTCTTCTTGAAGAAATGGAACCTGTCCTGTTCCGCCCTGTTCACGATGAACCCACTCGGATAGCGGGCGTACATGACGTTCAGCAGGTTCTCGAACGTGAGCGTGCTTCTCACGTTTCGTCTCAGACCGATCCCACGGAGGTTCAGCTTCATTCCCGCGGGGATGCAATGCTGAAACTTCGACACGGACTTGATGCCATCCTCTAGGTCGAAGATGAGTTCCTCGATGAAACCTGCCTCGTACTCGTGCGGAAACAAAACCTGCCAGGAATCGCGCGGATTCTTGTAAGTCTTCCGGAGATACGACTCCACTGCACGGAACCAGCCGGACAAATCAGAGTATGCCTTGATCGAGGGACAAGGTCCTTCCGGCATGCGGTCCTTCATCTCGAGCAGCAGCGTGGGAGAAGCGTTTTCGCCATTGTCGAGATCAATACTGTTTTCTTTGCAGTATTTCGACTCGAACAGGATGCGCGAGAACTTAAACTTCTTTTTCTCGGGTGCGAAGTTCGGCATCCCAGGAAATCCGCCTGGCGGTCCTCCACCACCCGGACTTCCACCGCCTCCACCGTACGGTCCGTTTCCAAATCCAGACCCACCGCTCGGTCCGTTCCCTCCATTGGGATCTCCATTTCCACCGTTCGGTCCGGATCCGCCGTTTCCATTTCCACCGTACGTGCCGTAACCACCGTTTCCATTTCCACCGCCCGTACCGTTTCCATTCCCCGATCCCGGATAACCCCCTGGGAAGCCCGGAATATTCGGCGGAACAAAACCATGCCCAAAACCGTGAGTGCCACTTCCCCCGAAGTTGTTCGTGTACCCGTTGAATCCCGCACCGCTGGGACTCGAGGATGAGGCAGCGGCTGCACCGCTCACACCCTGGTTTTGGTTATTTGCATTGTCTGTTACCGCGGTGGGTAGTTGCGGCACATGGAACCTTAACTGTTTGAGGTTAGCTTCCATGCTGTTAGTAGACGTCACGCGGAAGCCGGCAACCTTCTTCTCTTCTTCCGCGAGTTTAGTGCGCGTTTGTTGCTCCATAAACGCCTTGATCAGGTTGCTCATGTCACTGATAGTTTCCAGCGGACTTGACGGCTGCTGCGTGGGATTTTCCACAGTTGCCGGAGAGCTCGCTTCCGCCAGCTTGCGCAACCGCTCAATCTCTTCGTTTGCAGCAGGGATTCCGAAAGCATCCGACGCTAGTCCGTTTGCTTTCGCGTAGCGCTGGAAGAATTCCCTCTTCTCCTCGGTCATCTTACCCAGGTTTACTGGTTCTTCGGTGACCGACGCATCATCGTCATGCAGAACAGTATCGTTTGCATTTCCGACCTGGTACCAATTCTTGCTGGCTCCTGACGATGAGGAAGAAGACGTCGCAGATGCGGACTGGAGCTGCAAGACCTTTTCACTCAGCTCCTTGATCTGATTGATCATCTTCTTCTCGCCCAGCGTAGGAGAAGGACATGGATCACTTACTTCCGCGTTGCGTTCTTCGATGATGCGATTAATCTTGCCTTCGAGCGCGCCGACGTGTTTCAGGTAACCGTCCTGCATTTCGCTCAGGATGCCACGAAATGCTTTTCGCTCCTCAGCATTTCCTTCTGCGATCCTGGTCAACTGGTCACCAAATTTTGCCTGTTGCTCTCTGCTGTCGGCAACTTGCTTCGCGATTTTTGCTTCAATTCCGCTGAAGTTTTCCTTTACGCAGCGAAACTCGCTGCTCACGTGGTTAAACGCTTCCTGAATCTGCTTTCCTTCCTGTTGCAGATTGTTGTGAGTGTCGTTGTTGTATTTGTTGATCACGCCAATCACCTCCTGATGCGTATTCGCGATTCCATACTGGCGCTGCAGCTCAGCAGCAAGTTCTTGGTCTTGTTGGTTCAGATGCAGAGCAGCGTTTGCGACCTGTTCGAGGTTACCCTGCATCAGCTCGGTATCCTGCTTCAAAGAGTTACCAGCGTGGCCAAGCATGCTGGTTCTCCGTTTCAACTCCTGCGCCACCGCCTGCGTCTGCAGATTGTTTGCAATGTCGTATGCAGATGGTCCTCCGTAGTTGTTCTCTCCGCTGAGATTATTGCCTGCTCCCAACTGGGGGTTGTAGGCTCCGGTATTCAGCACACCTTGCGGCTTCGGGACGAGAACAACTCCCTCGGGGATCTTCGGTGGCGGCATCGGCGGAACCGCATTCGGATCAGAAAACCGCGGACGCTTCACTCCCGATGCTTCCTCACGCTCGCGCGCCAGACGACTCTGGTGTTGCCAGTTCGCGCACGTGGCCGGCGACAGAGGAGGCGGAGGCGGAATTCCAACTCCTGCAGCAACAACAGTCTTGGCGGGGAACGTGGTTCCGGAGAAACCGGAATCCATGCGGTACCCTTCGTCCTCGATCGGACTACCCGACACGGGGACCGTCACAGCGTTCTCCAGCGCCATGACAACTTCTCCTAATCCCGGCGGCACCGACGTCATCGACGCGTCGATGGTTTCCGGAATCATCAGCGTAATCACCTTTCTTTGTACCCGGGCTCGTCGTACTCAAAGTCCTTCCTGCACAGGATACTGCGATAAAACCTCGCGTATCCGCTACCACTGCTTTTTAAGGAGACCTTGTTCTAGATCTTCTGATCAGTGTTGTCTTTCGTGAACTTACACTCGAATCTCGAGGCTGACGCTGTTGTTCACACGAAGTGAATGCGGGGAGAAGAACAGGATTTCAGGTGCGTGAAGGAGATACTTCACGCAGTCGAAGGCTCATTCAGTTTTTGTGATTCTTTGTTCGAAACTCTTTAACAGAGTGTTACTCAATAATAGTGGCTTGAGCCACGATAGTCACACGGGTTCATTGGGAAGGAGTTGATGTTGATGTTGATTGAAACAGAGAAAACATTCAAAGAAGCAAACAACGATTTGTATTGCATTTCTCTCGAGCAGATAAAAGCTTACATGAAGAAAAGCTTCCGAGTTTTGATTCTCATAAAACAATTGTCCGACTTTTATCTCTCGATCACTCGAACTTCGATTTCAGTTCTCTCCCGACAACACTGATTTGAAGATGCTATAACACATATTCACAAATGTTTCTATTTTTTCATCTGTGAACGACGGCTAAATCGATGATGCTTGAAGCAGGCCTGAAAGAATAGCTGATTCGTCGGAAAAAAAGTCAGTGCTTTTTTTTACACATTATGCCTTTCAGAGCTTTCCTTGGATTTCACCGCTTTACGTTGCAGTTCCTTGAGCATAGTACTCGGCATTTTTTTTCGAAAGATCTTCTGACACTAATCCAAAGACTCGTGTCTTCAACAATGCCAATGCGACCACGTGATCATGACTGCAACAGCCCAGAGCCAGGCACAGAATGAGAAATGCTTTTACGTAATCTTTTGGCTTCCATAAACAATGAATCCGGCTGCGGTATTGAACAACACGCTCGGTGTTCGAGCACAAGGAAGGGGCCAATTGTCCTAAAGTACGGGCTGAATCAGAAAGATCTTCAAAAATGCAGTTTCATTGAGGTGATCACTTCCCTAAACTTTATTCTCGTGTCTGTATTCTTTCATTTTTTGGCCTACACTCTAGTACACTTCAAAAACTTATTAAACTGCACTTGCAGGTGCGTTGTAATATGACATCATCTGCAAGACATCTGCGATTGCCGGACATGCTCCCGGCCGCCTCGTAACGAGCTTTGCCACATCCGCTCAGAGGAGGTTCCACACTGACTCTGTTTGCTTGAGCTTGACGTGTAAAGTAATACTACACTTGAAGAAATGCTGGAGTTCTACATACGTGGAAAAATGACGGGGGCGGTCGCGAAAAAGAGTGACCTCGACCAGCACCTGCTTGCAGCTGGACAGGAGTCTGCGGGCGCTTACGCTTCCCGCGCTTTCGACTGCAATACGTCGCGGGAGCTATGCGGCCCGACGAAGGTGTCCCTTTCTTCGCTGTCGTCCTGAAGATCTTCAGCTCCTTTGAGCGGCACGGAAACTCGGTCGGAAGACGCGCCACCAGCGCATTCAATAGAACTACCCATCATGATCTTTTTCGCGCCCGTGGGGGTCAACCGCCATCCGTGGCCGAGCATTCCGAAATGATTCATCATCGGAGATGACATCAATCTTTTGTCTTGGTTCATCGTCAGAGCAAAACCGGCAGGACTCGGGAGCGGCGAAAGGGATGTTGATTTCGAGTTCGCGCGGGTAGACGAGCCTGAAGTCATGTCCGCAGAGGGGGACTTTTTGTCCTCGTCCGCTCCTGTCTGGATCTCCACGGTGCGGCGACTCCGATTGCTCTTTCCGATGGGCAGGAGGGGCGTATTTTTGGTCCGAGATGCAGTTGGGAGCTCTTCGTTCGCAGGCTGCAGCGACAGTTTCTCGAGTCTGTCCACAGTAGCCTCGACTTCCTTTCCTTTAGGCTCTTGCGCGGTGGGAAGCGGTCGCTTGATGTCCCGCTGCTCGGCTGCCAGCAGGTCTTCCAGAAAGTGCATCTTTTGCTCCGGGAGCCACTTCTTCGTCACATAGATTAAATCATTTACACTCTCATTGCGATTCTTCAGAACGCTCTCGACAAGGCTCCACTTGCTTTTCTCATGCTGTGCCGCGACGGCCATGGCAGCGTCGGGCTGCGGGAGATCGATGTTAATTGCAGAAGCGAATTCCGCCGCTGCTGCAGCGGCAACACTGGCCAAGTCGTTCAAAATTCCCATTGCCTGAGCCTGCACAAAATTCGTTGATACGGAACGAATGAGTGGACGAGGGCAAGACGAGGAGTCACCAGAGTCTGTCCCCCGAGGCACTCTAGCCGATCCCTGCTTCGCAAGAACTCCAGGAGCGGTCGTCCCCGTGACTCCAGGGATAATCAGGCGCCGTGTGGACCTCCCATGTTCTTCGGCTTGTTTGTTGGTGCACTCTGCGATCAGTTCAATCAGCTGCGCGAGTAGATACTTTCGCAGAGGCAAACCCACTGCGCCTTCCAGTTGGGCCCGGTCTGCGTCATGCAACAAAACCGTGTCTCGGTGCTTCGAGAGCAGCACCTGTTTAGGTATGTGAGGTTCAAGCAAACTTGCTCCTGGGTGGGATGCGGAGTCGGTGCCGCCCGATCGATGATGTCCTGTTCCTCAGAGGGAAACTGATCACAAAAAGTCAAAACCTTAAAATAAAATGAACCTGTTTCCAAATTGCAATCGGGAGCTCTGCGAGCTGTTGCTTGGTGTAGTGTACCATGGCTCGTGGCTGCACCAAGGCCAGCGTACCGCCAGACACGCAGTCGTCCTCATCCTGACCGACTGGAACGTTCATGTCCACCGGCTTTGCAAGAACACCGCCAAGGAAAGTCACTTGATTTTCGGACATCTCTACGGGAAACCAAAACGCACTCGGGCGGAGCAGCGGATTCTGCTCCTTCGCTGGAACTTTGTGTGTCGCGCGCGGACGCCTGGAAGAAGTCTTGTAACCTGCCTTTGGAGAGGACGAGACCGACGGATGACACTGGTGCCGTGTTGTGAAACTCCGTGGCAGCTCCCCTTCGGGGGCACCGCCGACATCGACGTCTGCTCTACTAGCCTCGCCCGCCACCTCGTCCGAAGCAATCGCTTCAGCTAAGGTCGTTCCCTCTTCTACATTGCTGCGCATCCCGATCCAATTTCCCGCAATGCTATGATCTAGAAATCGAATTTCGCTGCCGCGTGCAAGTAGATGCTGCTCCTGCAGAAGCAGAGACACGACAAACATCAACATGGTGTCCATTGCTCGGAAAATAAAAATGGCTCCCGGATGAAAAAAGGCGTCACGCTTCATTTTTATGTGCGCCACGTTGAATTATTTATTGAAATATTTATTGACTGAATTTAAAGGAAAGCACGCTCTCCAGTTGCAGTTGCATCGAGTTTATGCAAAAAAAAAAGAGAATCGAGGGATCAGAATGATTGCACTTCGAAAGATTCAAAAAGACCGGAGCGCAGTGCTCACATCAAATCTAAGCTCTGGACGATTCTCTGGGTTGCAAGCCTTGCTAAAGATAAAGTGCTAAGAAAGACAGCCATACACTTCAACAAAATACCTGGCTAATGTAAGCAAAAAAAGAGCCGTGTGATATCCGAGGAAAACATACAATTTTTGATCTTTGCAATAGTATCTAGCCTAGTATGGTCACTACTAAGCCGAAGCGCAAGTGGTATGATCGAGATCTCCTTGTGTCACTTTGTGCTAAACCTAAATCACTGTAGCAGCTCCGCATGGGGGTATAGGCCCAGAAGCAGCTTACACGTGCAGAAAATATTCACTTCCCATATTATACCGCAAGATACAATCTCTACAATGACTAGCGAAAGGTGAGAAAGCCCATTATTTAATAGTATTCCGCAATAGAAACAAAGAATAGAAACGAAAAACAAAAACAAAGAATGGAAACGAAAAATGAAAACAAACAATGGAAACGAAAAACGAAAACAAAGAATAGAAACGAAAAACGAAAACAAACAATGGAAACGAAAAACGAAAACAAAGAATAGAAACGAAAAAC